TATGTGAAATTGATAGGCCTAGATTTTGGTATTTCGGCGTTTGTAAGAAAGGAGGTAAATTATAATCATTGCATGAGGTACAACCTCAGATTGGTGTAACAATGGTATATTCTGACCAGGCTAGCTATCCTAGGCCCAGGCCTAGCCTAGGCCTAGCTGGGCTAGGCCTCCTACCTAAGGCCTAGGGCCTACTTGTTTGGCCTTTTCGATCCAGATCCAGTCATAGAACGCAGTTACTGAGTTAGGCTAGGCCTAGGACGAGAGTTTTAGCCCTAGGCCTATTAGCCAAGTTAAAGACTCAGCCTTGCATAGAAAGAATAGGCCCTTTAGGCGTGTCTAGGGCCAACTCTGGCACGCGCAACATTGCTAAAAATAAATCATTTTCCGGCCGATACTTAAATAGAACACCTCCTACTGTCTGTAGGCTGTAGGGACCCCTAATCTAGCATTTTTTACAACAGTATGGCTTTTTTTTAGTGTAGCTCAATGTATCTTGTGGCGTAGTTTATTGACATGGCGAGAAGAGGCTAAAATGGGGATAATGGATTAAGTGGGCTGCTGATATGATGCAATTTCTAACCATTTGTGGCGCCAGTAGGCTCAGGGGCATGTTTTCTGTTTAAAATACTGCTTTAAAAACTTATCTTTGAGTCTGAAAATGCCATTTCCCGGAATCTAGAGGTAACTGTTTGTACTGTATGTTAAAAATGTGTTTATGTCAACCCCAACAACTGGTGAATAGATATTTTTGAGGTAGGGAAATTTCTAGTGGCAGGGTAGGAGAATCTGGAGTGCAAGGCTTTTTTTTTCAGAATTAAAAATAATTTAAAATAAATGGAGAAGAAAAGAAAATTATTACTCAAATTTAAGTCCCAGAGTGCCATTTCCGACCATCTAGAGGTCCCATAGTCATAAATTTTCTTACCTCAGTTCCAACCATAGTGGGGCTGAGGTAGTAATTTTTCCCGTTCTGTCAATGTTCTTCCCTGGTCCCTTCTATTTTGAATCCACCGCTATGAAAGAAAATGGGTGGGGCTGACAAAGAAAAAAAATTGGAAGTACAGATTACACAATTTATGTCACCCTGCTGCTGGGCTCAACAGATTGAAACTGGCCCCCAGCTTAAAAAGTTTGAATACCTGGGGTCTAGATGTTTGATTTCACTAAATTTGACAATTTGTAAGCCTAGGTAGAGCTAACCTGATGTAATATGTTACTAAATAAAGAAGTATTATTACGGTAGATGAAAATTTGTTTTGACATTTCATTTTGGGTCTGTTTTTTCCGTTTAGTTTCAGTTGACATTTGCTTCAGTTCAGTGTAGGTTAGTATATTCTAGTATCTGTCATTGGCCTGCTGGTCAGTCGTACAGTACATCGTCGACTGCTAGCCCCAGCTAGTGTAGCTAGGCTAGGTCTTCCAACGAGACTAGTAGGCTATAAGCCTACTAATTATGGGGGGGGGGTGGTTTTTGTGTGCTCGGGCGTCGCCTAATTTTTTTTTAAATTGGTTCTGTTGGCGAAGCCCTCAAGAATGTATAGTTAAAAAAAAACACATGAAAAGCAGTAGACACAAACTCCCACTGGAAACCTACTTGATTTATTTTACTTGGGAGAATTTAATAATACCGGTTTGCATTGCAGACACTCCCAATGCAATCGGAAGTGTTAGAACATTAGTAGGGAATAGGGATACTGTACGTCAAAAAGTACACTCCAGTTTTCCTGTAAAATATTCCCGTTTTGGCCAATATTTTCGAAAGGCACGGATAAATTTCTACGCCTGCGTAAATGTTTGTGCAGGAGATATCCTATATAGTCTTTATTTTACAGTTTGATGTGTACGCAATTTTTAGTTGCAGGGAATCAAAGTTAGACAAATTTGCAGATGTGAGATTTTTGAAAACTCTGCTCCCTAGGGGTATGGGATTCGTTCCCTCCCCAGGGAATTATTTGAAAATGCAATCAGCATATATGTTTTCCTTGAGAATACATCAGGTCGTCTCCACTCCGTACAAAACCTTTTCACAGTGCTAAAACAACACATTCACAATGTTTGTGCAACTGGTTGGTATACTACAGTACATGATGCTACCATAATAATTGTAAGTATTGTAGAACAGACGCTGGGGTCAAGGGGCGGTGTAGGGCGCCGGTCGGGGTCCAAGGGATGAAGACGCTTGGTGGGAGTACGAGGTGGCTTCGCCCCCCCCCCCCCCCCCCCCCCCCCCCCCTTGTGCTCAGAGCTTGTAGCCTTTACGAACTGTTGTCAGAGAACATAGAATGTTCCATGAGTGATGAAACTGACAATTTTTGACAAAACCAACATACAGTATAACATAGGCCAACGTTAGGAACTGGTATAGGCATACAGTAGGCATATGTACTCTATATTATAGGTGTAAATAAATACAGAGAATATTTTAGTGAGAAACAAAACATTTTTAATATAATGTATACAGGAGCGGATCCAGTAGGGGCATGGGGGGAAACTTCCCCCACTCCCCCTGTTTTGCCACTAAATTAAAAAAATTTCAAGGCATATTGAAATTAGTGCTCTCACTTATCTATTCTGAATATGTTGTGCCCCCCCCACCTGTTTGAAAAATTTTGGATCCGCCCCTGGTATGCAAACTGGTCACGCGCGTCATTGATCAGGTGTGGTTCCCAAGACAACCCCAACATAAACAAAAAACCTGCAGCGATCATTAACATTAAGGCCAACTCAGACAGCGTTGGCCGACGCAGCCCGACCCGATTTATTGTCGGGGACAGCCTTAAGCCGTCGTGTGAAATATTAAACACGTTTAATATTCTACTACGCGACTGCCCCCGACGCACACCATCGCGTCTGCGTTCAACTCACACAGACCTGACGCGACAACAAATCGCGTCGGGCTGCGTCGGCCGACATTGTCTGAGTTGGCCTTTAGCCCTGAGATAATGCGGTTTCTGTACGATGATGCCAGGCCAGCGTATTTTCAATGTTTAAAACTGTCGGGGCCCCATTGAATGAAACTATGGTATTATATTTTTTTATACTACAATGTCGGTGCCCCTCATGCCTGGGGGCCCTGGCGCTCCGCCCCCGTCAGCGCCCGAGCGTGATGCCACTGCGTATGGCTTACAGTAACTGTTTATTTTAATGGCCGCTGTTTGCCTCTGTATTACACCGTATGGATGGGTTGATGGCAATAGGCCTGCCTTTCTGTGCTCAATGCTTTAGTAGTATGACAATGATGACCATTCATTCATTGTTCAAAACTCAGTACAAAAATATAAACAATTGTTACAATTATTGAAAATTGCATTAAATTAAAAATTACTAATAATATTTTGTAAGGATTGCAAATTTTGTAAGGATTGCAAAGAATAGCAAATTATTATTATTCGATTAATACTATAGATTTATAAATATCAAAAACCTGATTTTACACTGAACTCACAAACTACAAGAGACAAAATTAGAAAGAAAAATGACTAAACGAGAAAAATAATACAAAAACACAATTATTTTTTAATATAAATGTCTACATTCACTGGCTATGTCACCAAAGTTCAGATACTGTTTTACTTAAACTGACTTTACAGTTCACTATAAAAAGTGTACACATTTGCTTTTTTTTGTCTTTTATTGTTGGAATTTCTAATTTGTGTCTAGAAGATAACATGTACTGAGTTGATGGGCAGGTCTGCAAATTACTACATAATTTTTCCTTACTTTCATTTTTATTTGATGAATGAATGACTGTGCATATTCCTCAAATTCTGTTCTTGTAGTGTCCGCCATAAAATATGTAATCCAGAAAATCCCAGTGGACATCAAAATTGAATATATATTATTTGGATGTTTAAAATATCTATGATTTTTTAGGAATTTTTGTTCTTTCACTTGAGATCCTATTGTGTGGTCATATAAAGAATGTGATGTTCTTGTGATTGCATTGATAAAAGCTCATTTACTTCAATGAAAAACTGTGGATTTCATATATTTCATAGGAATGTTGAACCTAGTAAAAATAAACAATTATTTATATGTGGCAAAGACAAGCCAAACCAGCCACTCATTGCAAAAATCAATTTTTAGTTATTAATACTGGGTTAAAGATGAAAATGAGCGCTTTAAATTGGTAAAAGAATCATTTAAATCTGACAATTCCTTATGGAGTTACAAGCATTAAACATACAGCTATTCAAAGTGAACAATATTTGAGAAATCAGCCTTCAAAGTTTATGATGGTTGTTTTAACATTGAAAATGGCAAAAATATCAGCATATCATGATTTATAGATAATAATAATAATAATAATAATAATAGTAATAATAGTAGTAGTATAGTTTTATATAGCGCATGTATCCATCTAGTGCAAGATGCTCAGGGCGCTTGATATGTGGACAAGATATAGTTTAGTTTAGTGCAATAAAGTAGATTTCAAAAACATCAGCATGTTTTGGCCAATATCTCGAAACATGATTTGCGATGAGTGACGGGTTTGGCTTGTTTTTGCCATGCAGGTATAAAAATAAAAAATTTGACAATACCTTACAGTACTGTATACTGTATTTTGCTTTCAGTATGTATAATTTTATGAATTTCAATAATAAAATGTTTCAATAATATTCACAAAGAAAAATCCCGCCTTATTTAGCATACTGCAGACCATCACTATTTTATATTAGGCCAAGTAAAAAAATTACTTAGTTTCTCGTATCCTTGCGTATCCAAATTCCTCTGCCTCACCAAATTTTTTTTTTATTTACTTTATTTTACAAAATAATCTGTTTGTGGTTAGGGATACATATATTATGATACCATTGTCTAGTGCTTCTTTTATTTGATTTCAATGTGTCTACTTGTTAAAAGTGAGAAAGTAGTAACTGTTTCCCATCCACCATCTTGGTTTTGCCATCTCAGAGTAAAAAGAAAAAAAGTACCCTCATTCTCTCTTTTTTTAGATATATATTAGGACAAGGAACTACTTTTTTTTTTGACTTGGCCAAGGATTTTTGTAGTGAAAGAAAAAGTCATTTTGTTATTTTTTTAAATGGCTTGAGCCCTTAAGACTGCTCCAGATAAAAATTATAATTAAAGCATGTTTTTCTTCCATATTGTCCTTGAAAAGGCTAATTATGAGATGGAAATATTATTTGATAAATTTGCAATTTTGTTATGAGCTATTTACAGGTCGTGGTTTTAATATATTTCCTGTTAAACATACAACTTTAATATCTAACACATTGATGGTTATTAAACCAAGTCAATCAATCAATCAACCAATGAAAGGGCAGGATTCAGAGTCAATATGAATGTTGTTTTACCCTATTTAAACAAAATCTTTACTTTTGGACAGCAAATAGATGAAATTCTATCCAATAAGTTGCATACCCTTGGACAAAATTAACCCACACCCAGAGTCATAAATAAAAAAAAAACCAAAAAAAAACTTGTTTATAATTGGTGGTAGCCAACATTCAGAGTTAACGCTAACGAGATAAGCCACACATGCCTGCAACACGGCGTTGGAGTAATGTTTAGGAAGTGCCATAATAAAGCATTACATGCTGTGGCGCTACCCCCTCCAGAGGATTTTGAAATTAGCACAGTCATCAATCAGTTTCGGGTAATTATTAGAAAGCGTGTTGTACAGTAGATAACGCCTTGCCGAGTCCTGAATGTTCACTTGCATACGATAGACCTTGCGTTCATTTCATATTCACAAGCTTCGTGCACTGACTTGGTAAGTTAGACAGAATTTTTTTATAAATAAATTTGACGATTAATATTTTAATCATAGTGCTAAATTTTAATGTGTAGGTTGTGGTCTGAAAATAATATTTTTAATACTTAATTAAATATTGCTATGATAACTTGATTATTTTATTGCACTACCGGTATACCAATATACCAACCTTTACAGTATTATAATTGTAATTAATCTCTATTGCATAAGACTTTTTTTATATCAGAGATGGACAAAAAAACAATTTCTATTTGTTTTTTTTTTAATCAGCAACATTTTTCTTTCATTCATCTACAGTACAGGTGGCAGATTATAAAAAAAAAAATACTTTTATCAACTGATTAAAAAAATATTGTGATTGAACTAGTAAAAAAAGAGGGCGCCTTTAGGCCTCGGAGAGATCCTATGACATGGTTGTAAAGAATGCAAAGTAAACAGTAGTTATCAGATTGATATTACTGTACTGTACTATGATAAATTTATTTTATTTAAACATTTAGACATTTTGCTGATTTGAGGACTTTTGCTACAAAAATCCTTTCTTCAGCAAATTAAGTTTGCAAAAATGAACAATATTGAATATTATGTATGTGTCTTATCATTTTCTAATTCTAATTTTAAAAAGCTAAATGAATACAGTACTTTTTGAGTCCATAGAAGGTAAACCACAAATGCAATGTAAACAATTTATTTCAAATTCTTCCTTTCAGTTCATTAACTTGGCACTGATAGTGTTTTTTAACTAATTAATGCTTTTAACTGTACATTAAAGTGGTAGTACCACAATACTATACTACTGTATCTGTTATTGTTAGAGTGTGAAGATCTGTGGTTGTAGTAAGTTGTTTTTACATTAACTGAGATTACTTGCACTGACCATCATCATTGAGTATCCTCCTGATGGCGGCTAGTGTAATTAATTGTTACGACTAAATATTTGTATGAGATGAGCTGTAGTGTAGTGGTTAATAATATTGCCTTCGAATCACACGGTTCTGGGTTGAAATCCTGCATACACCCAATTTCTTTTTCTCATGAATAAAATCAATTTGACTTAATATTCTCATTGTGAATGATGAATAATGCACTTTTTAAGTTAATATTTCTTAATCATTTTATTCATTTTCTATATAAATGCTACGAAAAAATATGATTTGTTCACAATAGTGTGACAAAGAGGCTGAGAAATGCGAAACAATTTCTGAATGTAATCTGTAAAACCATAAAAGCTGCATATTAAACCATGTTCACATTGGACATTTTTGGTCAAATTGAACCTGCACCTGCTCGCTTTGACCAAAAAAATCTAGTGTGAACAGCATGCAAGTAACATTCTCTATGGAAATCTTAACCATTGTCCGAGATGAATTTAACCATGCAGTTTTTGCCCCAAGCAGAAAAGTTCAAATGCGAATCAGTGCAAATTGGGTATTTTTTGCGAGTGCTGCTACCTCACACTGCTGAACGTTTCACAGAATATATCTGTGGTTAGACTGGCCACATGCATCAATTGACCAAGTCCTATTCAACCTCAGTCAGGCTTAGTAAAACCTATATTTGCAGGGGCAGATCCAGAAGTTTTGGTTAGTGGGGGCTATAGGTATATGTGTAAAGTGCCTCCAAGTGCCTGCGGAGGCTAGGTTTGGGAAGAGGTGTCTCCGTCCGATAAGATTGGGTTCAGAGGGGTAGCTGAACGCTTTAGCTATTAGATGTATGTATGTACAGTAAATCGGGGGATTCGTAAAATAGAGGTTGGGTTAAATTTGTGGTAACCTTTGACCTAATACGTACGTAACGCCCAATAAACGTATGTACGAACGAACGATGATACCTAGACTAGACCTAGCCTCTAGGCCTAGGCCTACGAATAAAACCATGTGTTTAGTGTTTTTATTCATCACTTTACGATGTCATAATAAAGTGTTCAAATAAAACCATGTGTCTAGTGTATTAATTCATCACTTTAATGTATATCTTTTATTGATATCTAAAATAAAGAACATGAAAATATTGTATGATTACCTATACGACAAAGGTATAACTTGGGAATTCCCCTTCATGCCTATTCTAAACAACAGAGATGTGGTGTTGTCTGGGCCTGTTGAGACAAACTAAACCCATCTGCGCTGCACTGGGCGAGCCAACCAATTAGCGTTTGTGTACATGAAACAGCAACCATGTGCTATGCACTGGGCAAGCCAACCAATTAGCGTTCGTGTACGAAACTGTGTCTACTCAGCTTCATGTAGAAAATTCGACCAGACGAGTTCTTCCATGGTTTGCCTAGCCTGGGTTCCAGGCCCTAATTTTAGGTTACTCACTCTTTATTGCACTTAGTGCACAAACAGCCGACAAAGTCACCAACCCAACAGCCGACAACTTCACCTGTCATAGGGTGTCGGTCAACTCCGTGTCAAAATGGCGGTACGTGTATAAGTATTCCATCCGTGTTAATCCCTGGTCTATCTACGTGTGTGTGCAAGTCTGGTTAGATGTGAAATCCGAATATTGTTTATAGTGACTGCATTAAGCTTTCAAAACAATATGATAGTACTACGTTGAAAACAAACTGAATAAATATACTTTTACAATGGAGTTTTTATTTAGTATCTGTATATAATTGAAGAAGAAATATGTGGTAGACACAATGAAAAATAATAACTGATGCCTAGTTGTTGTCAAGTGCAAGTGGATTTGAATAATTACTCATTCATTAAACAACATTTATTTCCGTAAATGTTAAACAATATTTATAGTAAATCATTATTATAACAAGAATATATGTAAATAAATTAATAATATGAAAAACGATTAACTAGGATCTTTAATGGCAGATAAAAATATCTTTTCATGTAGGATACTCACAGAAACAACATAATTTAAATAAAAATATTAAAAAGGCAAATTATACGCCATGTTTAAAATATTGGAACCATGCTTCAAAAAAATATTAATGTAAATGCAAGGTCAATAACAGACTTAGCTTGTCACTTGCTATGTACTAATATAGCAATTGTTTGTATCCACACTTTAGAATTTTGTGCACCACCCTTAAAATTTTGAGGACATTTTCTGAAATTTCACCTTTCTTTAAAAATCCTGGTGAAAGGGTTGCCATGGGGAACATAAGACAATGAAGAGGGTGAAAACAGTTCCATAATAAAAATACTGTCCCTAAAGGTAAAATTTGATAATGTTAAGGAGAACCTCAGACGACAAAAGAATTCCCCTTAAAATATGTTTTAAATGTAGTAGTAGTATCCGACGACAAGCAATCAAGAAAAAACTAAACTGGAACAACTCTCTCGACACGAAATGTTTAGTGTATCATACAAACGTTTAAATACCTGCCTCTGACCGCCAGCAATCAAGAAAAGACTAGACAAGAACGACTCCTTTGACACAAAAATTTTAGTTTATTATTAGTTTATTTACAAACATTCAAATACCTCTGACCGCAAGCAATCAAGGAAAGACTAGACAAGAACACAAACCCGTGTGACACAAAAAGTTTCGTGTATTATACAAACGTCGAGACCGCTACACAACGTCCTTTGCTTCGAGATTTGAGCATGAAGGCAAGGCAAAAGCAGCTTTTTTAGCTACATTTTTTGTCCGCTGATCGGTTAAAAGACGTATTTCATTTTTATTTTATCACTGAAAAACAACTACTGTAAAATGTTAAGCTCATAAATATGATGTGTGTGAAGAAAACATTGAACAATATTTTAATTTGGACCTTCAAAAAGCAGTTAAAAAGAAATGGCTATGAAATTTTAGGGGGTGGGGGGCTAAAAGCCTGCTTAGGCCCCCCCACCCTCTAAATCCGCCCCAGATCTGTTTTTTTTTTTTTATAATCCAAGTGTGAACAATGTTACAATTTAGAGGTCAAAGTGCATTTTGGAGAACAGTAAAATATTTTACTGAAGAGGAAACCCTGTATAAGGAACACATGAATAAATAAATTAAATGATGTAGTTAACATTAGTCTTTGTCAAAATTAGTTAAATGCAAACATGCCTTTATTCCAGTTTTGGTTTGTTTTGTCTTCTCAGGATAACTTTTATTAAAAAGGTCGCAGAAGTTCGGGACACAACATGTCAAAGAGATCGGCGGATGAGGGTGACGCTCCAGGGGATGGGTCTGTTAAGAAATCAAAGACGACTCTGGAGTCTAGTCAAGTGTTAGTTTAATTCTTTTATTGTTACATTATATTTTCTAATGTGTTTAATACTATATTTTGTAAATATTTAGGAACATATTATTAGGGCAAAAATATCATTCCTATGTACTAATCTTCTGACGCAAAACACTATGAATACATTTATTACCGTAAAACCTTTAATTGAAGCCCAATGGGCTTAATCTTGAGAAGAAGCCCATCTCAAATTGAAGCCCCTCTTTAGTTTGCAAAAGTAGCCTCAAAACAAAGCCCATTGGCTTCTTTTCAAGATAGCACATGGGCTTTTTTCAGAGATAGCACAGTACCAGTTAAATGCACTCTATGATACAGATTCATGTTACATTGGCCCAGGTATTTATTCTTTTATAGTAAATTCCCAAAATTTACAGCATTCATTTTTAAAGAAGTCCCTCTCCCCACCTTTACTTTTGCAAAAGTATCTCGAAAAGAAGCCCATCTTGGAAAGAGGCCCATCTTAAAGAGAAGCCCATCCAAAGTTCGCAAAAATAGGAACAAGCCCAGGGCTTCAATTCGAGGTTTTATGGTATGTTGATTAATTTTCTATACAGTGCTTGGGGTTAAAATTATGGTGAAAACATGTTGTTTGGAAGTCTAAGCAAAGAAACTATTAGTGTTAACAAGAAACATCAAAAAAAATTTTAACCCTAAAACGAATAAATCAATCAATCAGTAGTAATTTGTGGAGCACCAATACCCACGGCAGAACACAATGCTTAGTGCCGCAATGACGTTGGCATTTCTCAAAGTGCACATAATGTGATTAAACTGAGGCCATTGGCTTCGAACAACCCATCCGCCCTTTATGTAGCTTATAAAAATACATTACATTTGTGATCAATGTTGTCATCTCAAACTGTACTGTTATCATCCATAAATATATTGTGAGGTGATTGTACTGCATAATGAGGTTAACCTTGCTCAGGTATTAACATTAAAATTTATGCAAATAATGCAATAATGTTTTCAGTTTCAATGCACTTTAGCATTTAACTTATTAAAAATGAAATACTTTTAAATTAATAATTGAAATAACCTTTCCTAAACCCTTTTGATATTATAATAAAATTACAGCTCTCCAACCAAAATGCAACCTCCAAATAGAGACCACTTGTGTCTGGCCCCTAGATAAACACCATTTTTTAAAATCTTATATACTGTATGGTTTACTATTTTTCTAGTTAGAGACCAGAGCGGCTAAAGACCATGAAAGCCTTGGTCCTAGTGGTCTTTAATTGGAGGGAGATCTGTATTTAAATTTTACAGTATATATCTGAATTAACTGTGATTTGAATTATATTCTGTAGCCCATCAATGCCTAGCAACATAATTACACAGATGATGGACATCGCAGAACCAATGTCATCGCTCAAGAAGTTACTTGAACACCGCCTGCAGTGCAATCTCGATGAACACGAGATATATTTACAGAATACAGCCATGGTATGTAGCGTTAATTACTGTATGTTCTATTCTATTTGATATGGCACATTGTGTCAACAAGGCCTCTATGCATTTCACATTATTACCTCGGACATTGGATGAAACAGAGCTCTATAGTTGCCTGTGGAAGTTTTCTACTTATAACACACCTAAATAGATCCTTGTCAATTGATTGGTGTGTTCATATCATGTGACATATGGTTATTCAATCAATCAATCAATCAATCAATGGATTTATAAGGCACATAATACTGTTGTCTCTATTTACACCATTTCATCACTCATGAATATTTAGTTCCATCCATGCAATTTTTGTTCCATTTGTTTTGTTTCATTGCACACCCTCACCTATACACAATGTTTTTATTAGTTAAAAGAAGATGGACTTGCATTCAGCAACTTTACAACATATACTGAAGTTGTCTGTGGGAATGTTCTACATCATAACACACATATCGATAAATAGATCCTTGTCATTTGATTGGTGGATTGCGTATCATGTGACATTGGTTATTTACACAATTTCATCACTCGCTTATAGTAGTTACAGTATCTGATATATTTTTGTAAATTTACAAGGTAGAAATAATAATATATATTTTTTTTTTTTTTTTTTTTTTTTTTTTGTGGAAAAACATTTTGAGGGGTTCATCCTCTCCCATTGTAACCTTGTTTAGCAACTATGAAATATAATTTTTACAATACAATATGAAACAAATGTCTACTGATTATCTTACAGGTAGGTGTACATTCTTACATTAGAAATACCATCATGTTATGATTCATTCTTTTGTTTGACTCCACAATAAATATAGTATAATTTTATGTTTAAGTGAGACTTTTTTGATACCTTGATTCGTGATGAAAGATCGATAGAAGAGGGCGGGCAAAAAACAAAATTAAAATTGTTTTCTTATTCAGCAAATAGTTTTTTCCAAAACCATCTAGACGGAGGCGATGCAACGCTGTCTGCTAATTTTCGGCAGTCTGAACAGATCGTCGATAAAAACAGTCCATTGCACGGGCGTTGTTGCGTTCTGCATAGCATCTTGTCGGCCACAGCTGTCGGGCACAGTATAGTGGCCGACTTTATATTTAGAGATCTCAAAACAGCGGCGGGCATAAAACTAAAGAAAAACTTTTTTTTTCAAATTTTTATTTTTTTTAGAGGGTGCGCTACTTGGCCAAAAATAGAATTTTATTTTTATTCGATCATCATTATTGGTAGCCTACGGGTTTGCTAAAAATGGTATAAAAAGGGCCTTGCCTATAGTGTGAATGCACTATATGGTGGAGTGGGTCGGTTTATTGCAAAGGAATGCTGAAACGTTTATTTGGCAAATTTAATAATTTGCAGTGGTGTCCCTGAAATAAATTAAACTATAGTATTAAGTTGTAAGATCCTCTTCATGTATCCTGTTTGTTCCGTTAGGAGTGTGCAGAAACGTGTTCTTGCTAGATTGGGTTTGAGCATGCTCCACAGATATTGTGACTGTATCAACCATCTTGTAGTAACAGATATGCCAGTGATAATTCGTGGCTGACCGCATGGCAGCCATTCTATTTTTAGGCTCACTGAAAATATTCAAAATTTTCTTCATTTTTTTTCTCGTTTTAGCAGTATGTCAGTATACAGTATGTCCAGACTATCAAATTTTTTTTAACAAAAAAAATTATATTTCCATATAGTCATGATGTGCCTATATATGGTCATGATGTGATGTCATCATGACCATATTTAGGTATGTCACATGTTTTTGTCAAATAAAATTTGATAGACTGGACAGAGCTGAGGAAGTTTGCAGTGCATGCTGGGATAAAAACTGTACCCGAAACTTCTTGGTTACTTTAACTGAAAGGAAACATGCAAATACCCATTAAATCACATTAAATGTGTATTCTAACACAAAATTTCTTATATTTATCAGATATTGAAAAGGAAAGAACTCTTCTTGATGAAATTATCAATAATTATCATTTTATTAGCATTTCTGCTCAAAATAGAATATGACATAAAAATATACAATTGTATGCTACTTTTACATCAATTGATTCGTCATCGTTATTAACTGAGCCCTGATTAAAGCAGGTAGACGTGTAGTAGTACGTGAATTTGATGTTTACTATTTGATCCGGAAATAGTATAATGTGCTAACTGAATAATAGGACTTGGCCTCGTGCAGCATCAATGAAAGCCGACCATCCTTGAAACGATAGACCAACGAGAATTTCTACTACACATCCTCCTTGGATTGATCGCAAACTTAATTAATAACCTCCCTGAAGCACACATCGCAATGTTTGTCTTGTGAGTATAATGCCCGATGCAAGGTATGCAGCGCAGAGGACGGCTTAATAGCTAAATGACCCGTTTTCTGCCGCACCATGAAAAACTGAGGAAGCTTTCATATTAACGGAGGAAATACGCATCAAAAAGTAGTGCCGTTATAGCTGCGATGGACGCCTAAGCTGACAAGAAACGTTGGAGTACTAAAAATTGCCAACAGCTCTGGTTACTCCATGCTGTTTAAAGTCTCCCTGCCTTGTTTCAAACGTAATTGACAACTACTCCGCTAATTTTATCAAGAGTTTCAGACTGTTGGGGAGGAAATCGGTTGTGAGTGTTACAAGCCTGCATGCTCTAATAACAACTCTCAGTTTCCCCGGGGTATTGTTTCCTTAATTTCTGCAAGGGGAATTGATATCTCTCAGGAATGCACATAAATGCTCAGGAAGTGGCCAGAAATCAAAAGTATTTTCTAGTAAAACTACCTCGGTTTATTATCTATACCAATGTAGCCTAATTCAGCAGAAGCGTTTTCACCTAATGTATTTGAAACAAGTGAACGGTTTTCTGAATTAATGTCACATTGAAAAACATTGTACAAAGCTTGATTTTTTTATAACAGTCAAGTTGCTTATTTACATTATTGCAAACTGTTATGGGATGGCAATACTGTGGGTGGGAGACTGCTGATAAGGCGGTGCAGCCATATTGAATTTCAGGAAGCCAGTGTATAAAAAAATGTTTATCAGAAAAGCAAGCCTACTGTACGCATGATGGTGATATGTGAGGAAGGGAGAGTACGAGGTGGGGGCGTAGGGAAGACGGAATGATAGAGATAAGGGCCAGACGTACTAGGATTTATACTTGTAGTCATGGGACTAGCATATTAGCATAAGCCAGTAGCTGAAAAAGAAATGAGCGGGGGGGGGGGGAGAGATAAACAAATACATTTCCTCTGTATATTGACTCAAAATTGCCAATCATTTTTATTAGTAAGAAAAAAATTGGAAAAGTTTTCCCCCTCTGTTTCTCAAATCATTCTATATTCTGGTAGTTAGCATGATAAAAATTAAGAAGTTGATATTTCAGCAGCTAAAATTTGCTATTTCAACACTCAGTTATGGGCGCATAGAAAACTCATTAGATATTACTTGTTTCTTTATAAATAAGTGATGCGGGCGGGCAGGTTTTTTTTCTTTAATTGAAACAATAAAATATTGCTTTTTTTTAATCGATGAGGGAGGGACTGTTATTATTTGGTAAGTATATTGTAAACATTATATAAAAACTAGTTTAATTTTGTTGTTGTTTAAAGAAAATGTATTTCCATTCACAAATTTTTATTGTTTTTTTTATGCTATTGAAATAAATGATGGGGCAAAACAAAATTTATTTTTTAATCCTGCATCCATATTTTCCAAATTTTTGAGTGATAATCTAACAATTTTTTCTATGTGCCCTAATCTAAAATTCATTATAAAAAAATAAATACAGTATAGAAGAGCTCTGTTATAATATCTTACAATGTCCTCATTTCCTTTTGTCAGCTGTTTCCAAGAAATCTAATTATAATCGCTTTAGCTTTACACTAGCTATGCTGCTTGCATCCCATATTAATTACAAAACATGGATGGAAATGATTAGCGCATTTGTAGCGATTAGGGGTCGCAGCTGACAGGTCAGTGGGTTTTTGGGCAAGGCACTTTAATATGAATACTTCTGTCTCCACCCAGGAGTAAAGGCGGGAAGTTGATACGATGCGAATGTTCTACATTAAAAGTATGTCAGTATGTTGACTATTCTGTATTGCACATTGTGAGTGTTTAGTGTAACTGTTTTCATTGCTGGAATGGCATACTGATAATAATAGGGACGGGCGAGGCATTAATAAACGAGAGATTTTCATGTCAGGTCTCACATACTTTCACTCTGTCCATGTCTCATTTGGCAGTTTTGAAGCACGACGTTAACCTTAACGTTAACGGATGACATCATAATTTATTCATCTTGCATTGTGGAGTACGCTAATTTCAGGATTTTACGTGCTTGTCGTACGTTAGTTAGGGGTTTGCGCATGCGTATTTTGATTTGTTTAGAAAAGGGGCGGAGCTTTCGTGCAACATGTTGGGTACTAACGTTAAAGTTAAGGTTAACGTCGTGCGGCGAAAACTACCTACTATTTCAAGCCTAATTTGTATTATTTACACAGTAGAACCCCTATTAAGGGGACACCTTCGGGACCAAAAAAAAAAAGTGTCTCCTTAATAGAAGTGTCCCCTGAATAGGGCCACCCCTTTCAGGGGACAAAACCAAAAATGTGAAATTGTCCCCTTAATAGGGCTTTTTGGCATGTTTTCGTATAATGAAGACATAGATTCTTTATAATTTTATTGTAATTGACCTAAGAATGAGTTAGAGTTTAATTATAACTAATTTAAAAGAATAGTTTACAATGCAAAAAATAATTCATTTAAGATATGAAATTAACAGATATGTAGTTCAAACTACAAAATTTGTGTATGTTACCAATATTGTTTCTTTATTCGAGTGCAATGTTAATGACCTCGTTTCACGCAAAAATGTCCCCTTAATGGGGGTGCCCCAAAGGAGGGGTTCTACTGTATTAAAATTAAAATAATAATGTAAATGCAATATCTGTAATATAGATATATAAATTTCTGATGTAATGACTGAACATACCTAATTTCAGATCTTGGCTGTACTTCAGGCCCTTTTCACTTTCAAGTAATATCTCAGGTTAGAGAAAAACTTGGGAAATATGCTATTTAATTTGTGTCAATACATTTGCCATTAAGTCTTCCAAAACCGTGTTCCATGTTTTAATACTACTATGAAGTACAAGATATTATATGTGCCTAGCTTTCTTCATTAAAATACTCCTTTATAAAACTGTGCCAACTCATCTGTATATTATATTTCAGCTATTTTGATAACATATTTTTAACATAAGAGATAAATTTACAAAACTTATTTTGTTGTGTCATTAAAGACTGTCTGCACTCAATTTAGGATAACACTGTATGTAATATTATCCTAATTGTCTAGTGTTTATTCATTTTTGCATCATTATTGTAATAGGTTTGTATTTATGTTGCTTTCACAGTGAACATTAGCTCAAGGTAAATGAATATACTATTATGAACAAAACTCATAAGGCCAGCAATGAATTAAACCACACATTATTGTCACTTCACCAGGCATATTTTAATACCTAACTGCCATACTGCTATGTTTATAATATGTAGGCATCTAACTACACAAAATATATTGAAAAAAATATTTTAATTTTAAGCCTATGTGATTAATTTACAAACATTATAATTGGGTAGTGCTGAATTTATTGATTGTGCAAAAAATAATATTTACAAATTTCAATCAGTGGCGATAATTCTATGATATTATTTTGGCCTCTATCCCATCGACAGCACTGAAAATTTCTCTGAAGGGGGTCGAAGGGCCCGACAAGGGTTCCATTGTCTCCAATGAGTGGGCTAAGAAACCTGACAGCTGTCCACACCCACCTAGCCTCTCTGTGGTAGAAGCAAATTTTCAAAATAGACAATCAGATAAATACTGAATGCTGTGTGCTTCCAGACTGAAAATGCTTTTATGAAGTACAGAAGTGCTGTCTGACTAAATGATTTGCTTCTTCCCCAACAGGGATTTCAGGTTTTCCCAACAAAGTTTCTGGGCCCCCTAGACCCTTACTAGCACCACCACTGCTGCATCTAATACCTTCCCTTAAAGATACAGTATATCATCTTTTTTCAGGTGGATGGAAGCAAAAGTCTGCTTGAGCAGGGAGTATCTGCAGAGGGTATTGTTCAATTTAGTGTGCAAGTTATTTCAAGTCTGGGTATGTTGGTTTTAAACTTTATTTCATTGTTGGATAAAAGATAGTCTTTTAAAGCTAAAAAAGAAAAACATTACTAGGGGTGCCATATAATTAGATGTCATGCCTCACTTTGGTGTGGCTAGGGTAGTCTAGTTCCTCAATCTGTAATGTTTTCTCCCTGGGCCCCTCTATTTCCAGTTCCTGGATCCACCACTGAAGAGTATGTATTATATCGGTGAAAACAAAATTGTTTTCAGTCTGTGTCTGTTTTTTGTTCATATATCAAACAGTATCTTTAATTTGTTTGAACTCTCCCTCAATAGAAATTTTAAGTACATTGACTGTACATATTTGTGCTCTGTACTAAAATAAATCAAGTTACAAGAAAAATCAAAGGATGTACAGGTGATTGAACCTATGACCTTTTTGATTAAAGGACAAGCACCCGACCTTCTGCGCCATAGCTTCTGTATGACTGTCAGTATTACTTCCTGTATCTGATCTGTAACCTTGATCCTAAAGGGCTTTAATCGTTTTGTGTCTACTACAGTGAATTATATCATTAAGAATACCCTTCAAACAACACATTTGTCTACAGATACTTCCTAATAATTCTTAATACACTATTAAAGCATATATGTATATTCCAAAATAAATATATTCTTATTATGTACATTTCCGAAAGTTTAATTTTTTTAGAAATATAGATAGCTGACTATATCAAAAACATGACATCAGATTTTGACCATATATAGGCATAGGATGACTATAATTAAATAAACATCAGTTTTTTGTCAAAGAAAATTATATAAATCCAGACAGAACTGGATTATCATTCATAAGGTATATTTTTTTGTATACTATTACTACATTTGTGTTATTGTTATCATAGTTTATTATTTTTCTTAAATTTAAATATTATATTATTACTGTTTTATTAATTAACCATTGTTTTTAATCAGTGGTTTACTTATATCTTGTGTATAGCATTATTATTTTAATCATTTATAGTCTGTTTCTTATATTTATAATGTTACATAATTTTGTGTTTATCATTATGACACATTAAAAATGTGTAATAGTAATTAAAATGAAAAGAAACAGACTTTATGGGCTGACATATGTAGTATACATATATATTTTTTTTAATTTATTGAAAATAGCTATCTGTATTGTAAATTGATGATTGATTGATTGAAACTTTTACAGGTGCCAAACCAAGGTTGAACATTGTGGACATTGTAAAACCAATTATTGAAACAGTAGAGATTCCAATAGACCCAGCACAACAAGGTAACAATACTATTTATTATTATTATTATTACTATTTTTGTTATTATTAATTACTATTGTGTAATTCTTGTAATCATTTAAAAAAAATGTTGCCCAAACCCAACTAATTGGAAATCTATGATCAAATATTTTTTTTTAGCAAAATCATTTATATTTTCTCAAGAAATTTAGTTTTATTAAAGTTTTTATTAATATTTTTTATATTTTTACCATTGATTTTTGTCCATGACAGTTACCATGACTACCCAAAAATTGATAGTCACCACCTCTACAATTAGGCCATGATCTAAAGTAAAGAAACTTCCCAACTTACAAACTTTTTTTTTTTGTTTTTATTTCAATACACATCTACTTCATTAAGTTTGTACCAATAGGCACAAAATGTCCTACACGATAAAATATCTGTGCAGGGTAACTAGCAAAATAGAAAGTATATTAAAACTCATGCCCCATAGCAGTGGTGTGAAAAATAGTGATAATAAACGTGCAGCTATGAAAATGTTTGTTTCTATCATTTTACTTAAAAATCACATTCCTTCTTCTTCAAGTGTGTACCAATACTCGCAAAATGTTTTATAAGATAACAAATCTGTAAATTAGCAAAATGGAAAGTACTACACCCTTTGGCCCATAGCAGGAGTGTGAAAAATAGTGATAATAAATATGCAGCTATGAAAATGTTTGTTTTTCATCATTTTATTAAAAAAAGAGAAAGAAATAGAAATAAAAATAGAATAGCAGACTTGGAATTAGACCAAAATCTTGAGTCTCAATTTTGTTTATAAATCCTGTCTGCATGGGGATACATCTCCTCTAATTGCCATGAAACAACCCTATCCATACAACCTACTTTATAAATTCTGGTACATTTTGTTTACAAGATATGAGAACATTTTAATGTCAGCAGTATAAACTGAAATAGTCATGTGTAGTCTTTCTGTAGTATGTTATTCAGTAGTTCAAAAGAGTTTAATTCTGAGTGTAACTAAAAACTTTGATCAAACTTGGATTCAATCTCAGGTTTCATTCTTAATGTGCAAATGTCTTATAGATTTTTTTGCCCCCTTTATTTTCCCTTGAAAATGACAAAAAATCTTTAAAAATAACAATTTTAAAATTAACTTGCTCATTTTGCAGTAATGTACAAATCATTAACTCGAGTACAGAAATTATTGAATTTTAAAAATGTGTACCCTGATTTTTTTTTATACCGGATAATAATTAAAATAATAAAACACTTCTAGTGACAGTGTTCCTATCATTTCTCACAGTAACATTATGGGTAAACATTTTTTAAATACACTACATTTCTATGTTCATGTTTTTAAATAAGTTTTATGTTATTTTAAAATTAGCAATTTAATTTCTAAATTGATTCATTCTAATGACTTTTTTGGTATTTTGCCTTGGACAATATATCTTTAGGCAGATTAATGTGGTTTTATGATGAATTTGAATTGAAGGAATTCCTGCACTATTTAAAAGTTTGCTAAAATTCAAGCTTTTGAAAACAAGTTTTCAGGATCTACTGTACTGTAAGTGGTTGAAGGCATTGGCCTAATATACAAATGATCAAAGATGAAATCTTGTTTGAGTGACCATATTCGTTATTATTGCAGTTTAAAATATTATTGTAAATTCATATTTATGTTATTAAACACTATTTTACTGTATACTATTGATAGACTCTTGCCTCCTAATCTTGTTGACACAATCACATTTTCCTAGGCAAAAAACTGTTGTAATTTGTATGCCCATATATAGTCGTGATGTGCTATACTGTATATGGTCATGATGTGATGTTATCATGACCATATATAGGCATGTCACATGTATGTCAAATAAAATATGATAGACTGAGCAGGGCGTTAAAGTTATAAAGTACTCTTATGTTATCTGACTCAACACCAATTCAGTTGATTCAATTTTAATTTTATTTTATTATATTATTAGTCACTTCAGCTGTTCATGTGGATTAATATTTGAGAAGTACTGGTTTTGGTTTTTTATTTCTATTTTTTTATGTTAGGAACCAGAGCATGTCACCAGATATCAAGTGGTTGATTGACATCTGTCAATTCATCAACCTACAAGATACTTCATGTTTCTGCTCTGTTTAATTTCTTTATTTTATTGAACTTTGGTTTCGTTTTAAGGTTTTTTTTGGGGGGTTTTTTTAGTAGCTACATGGTTTGGTCTGTAAATGATTCTGGAAGCATGTTGCACAATCAGTAGTGCCGAGAGAGACCTGGAACTAGTGGTGGTGGGGTGGGGGGTGCATTTGCACTCTCATTGGATAGGACATGACCCCCCTGTTGTCTGATGCCTAGGTCATTGGATCAAAAATTAAAAAAAATAATAATTTGCCTATCAAAATTACTCTGGAGCATACTCGGCGGCAATAAAAACTCTCCATGTGAACCCTACAAGAGAATCTTTATTACTTGCTGTCAACCGAGGCTTTGTCGCCCCCTTGGTTTTGACCTCCTCATCACACATGTCTTAGTCTTGTTAGCAGATTTCTGGCACCACCACTGTCCGGAACCCACTGGGGTGTTCAATTTCTTGTTAACAGTCCAATTTCAGTTAAATTTCTTGTGTTTATAAACTATTTTTGTTTTTGTCCGTGGTGCATCAAGGAGTCTTAAAATGATGGGGTTTGGTGAGGGTGGGGGCTCGCTGAACGGGAGCTAGGTTGCAAAATAAGGTTATATTTAAATACTTGGGCGTGTTTTTTTTTCAAAGGAGGGAGAGGGAGACGGTTTTTTTTTTTTGGGGGGTGGGGGGGTGAGCATGCACCCCTAGATACGCCACTGATTTTTTGTTTTCCTACACCTGTGCATAGTATATGTGTCTATTAATATGTGATATCCTTTGTAAACATGACATACATAAAATAATATAATTTTATTTTGGTGATGTTTTTCTCAGATGTAGCAACGGCTGATGAAATTAGTGAATCAGATGGTCAGGTGACCAGATGGGTGTTATGTAATAGCTACAGGGACGAGGAGGAGAAACATGGAATACCTCATAGTAAGTCTGTTGAAATATGTCTTTTATTATTAGGTGTGGGTGGGGTGTGGGATACAGTCATTGATGTGTAGATAATATAATGAAAGATTTTCTTCAACACTCCCATTAAGGAACATCCCTATAGAGAATTTATTTTCACACTATTGCCAAAACCTATAAAAGGACACTTTTTTTGTCCTAAATCTTCTCCTTTTGACATAGGAAAGCAATCCACATTTCTTGATTAATTTTTTCATGAAATTGTTTCTTTAAAGGAGACTATAAAAAACTTTTCAGATTCAAGATTCAAACTTTATTCTCGTCGATTTTTGAAAATTCCATTGCCATTCTCATCCATTTCTGGAAATTCTATTGCTTGCATACATACACATTAAAACATACTATTCACAATATGAAATTGTTATATAAATACACAAGTATTGCAGAAATGTGTACCATTAATGGTAGCTCTACTGTAAATATTGAGTTATGAACAGGCGGCATACTATGTCAAGAGAGAGCAGATTAAGTCAAATCTAGACGTCATTAATAACATTCTTAGTATTCATGTTTGTGGTTGCTTTATAAAATGTTACCTTGTTGATGTTATTATAACTGGATGGCTGGTGTTTTCTTTCCTCCAGATCCCTGTCTTTGGAGTGTTGATGACACTGTTCATTGGTTAAATTGGGCGAGCAATGAATTCAACATCGCCCTGGGAGACCGAGTGAGTCAACTGAAGATGAAAGGCAGCGAGTTGTGTGGTCTCTCCAAAGAATCATTCTTATCCAAACTGTCAAAACCAGCTGGTGAACTGGTGTGGACTCACCTACAACTACTTAAAAAATGTAAGTGGTAAGAAGAGTCCCGGTCCGAAACTTCGAACTGATATATATATATATATATCAACCAATGTCAGTGGCAGTTTGGCCTATCTTTCATCTGTTTCACGGACCGATGCACCTTGCGATTATTGTTCCATTTTTAAAAAAGGGGAAAAAACAGTTGAGATAATTAAGGGAGACTTTTATACCTTGTTTTGCAAACCTGCCGCCCACCGATATTGATGATTCAAAATTTTATTTTTGGTCAATTAGCATACCTGCTGCTACGGAAAGATGGAAATAAAAAAAAAATGTTTTTCTTTATTTTTATTACGCATACTGCTGCCTTGAAATCTCCAAAAATAATATGTGTATATTTCTTTTCAATTATATTGCATTTTTCAAGTTCTTTTATGTGGAAAGTGCGTAGAAGCATTGTTTTGCATTAAGCACTATATAAGACTAACATTATTATTATTATTATTATTATTATTATTGTATAAATTTAAAGCATTTAACCATTCTATTACTACACTGTTTACATTTAAAAGTACAATTTTATTTTTGGTTTTTCCTCCATCTGGATGTTTTTGGCAAAACCATTTGCTAAATAAGAAAATAAAATTATTTTTATTTTTGTTCCTCTCACGATCAATGCAGCCCCTAAATTATTTTACTGGACCGGAAAGTGTGCACCAGTCTGCCCATGACCAATCCCAAGTAAAATGTTAACACTGCCAGAATTGCTTTTTTTCTCATTATGCATTGCAACAACATACTCATTGAAAATGTTGTTAAAAGTATAGTTATTTTTACCATAATGCATTATAATCACTAATAAGTTATTATATGATTTTGTTTTTTAGCTGTTGGACAGACTATACAGAATACAACTGCAACCATCGAAGGTGAGGGTGCACTTTTATAGGGTTCCATCATGATAGAGTAATACTTTTAATGCCGAAATACTGAAGGAATAAAAATGACACCATAGTAATTTAGATACGTATTTTTAAGTAAAATTTTCCCAATCCAAATCAAATATCCCATGTCATATCAAACTCCCCACCCCATATCAAGTTCCTCATCCCATATAAAAATCCCTATCCCATATCATATTCCCAACCCCATATCCACAAGTTCATGTGATATATATTCATCTTGCAGAATGTTAACATTGAATCTGTATTCCGATTAACGCTGAAACAAATTCAATTATAAACATTTTTACCATGAACAGCATCTGTTCTCAATGTCATGCTGCAAGGAAATATAGATTATACTATAGATTTAAGTGATATTTTTTTCTCTATCGTAATTATGTTTTCAATTATATCTGCTAATTTTATTGGAAAGGTTAAAGTCATAAATGATAATTTGATTTTCTTTTACAGAACCTGTCCCATTGGTTGCTTCTGAAGGTATTGTCCACTTTAATTAGTTTCTAACTTCAAAAGTTAATTTTTTCAAATTAATAGAGAAAATAAATTAATCGTGTCTTGTTAGTTTAATAAATTCCTCAAAAAATATTTCAAATTAACTAATTAACATTAACATTCCTTGAGAATAGAGATAGCATATATCTTGACTAACTACGGAAGTTTACTTTGAAGGTATCAGTCGTTAAGTATTGATAATAATATTGGCTTCCTTCTTGATCGAACACACTCTTCCTGTTTTGAAGGCAAGGCACAAGCTGGTATATGCCACGTATTTCCTTTTTCCTATTTGATATAAAAAGTTAATTCAAGATATTTTAAATGGCTTCAATTGGTTTAGAAATTAATAAATATATTGAATGATTTAGATAATTATATTAGTTACGTATAAAACATTAATGTGAAATTTCTTGTCATTAATCTATGTTGACAGAAATAAGAAATGTGACAAACTGAATGTCTATATTCATGTTGTAATCGCAGTTTCCCAGCAAAATGATATTAAAATAATAATATTTATGATATATTATAATAATAATAATGATATTTAATATAATAATAATGATCATATTAATGGCAAAGAAAGGTAAAGATATATACATAAGATATGGCAGGTTCAATGATAGTAATAAGGATAATAATTACGGTAGTGATATGATAATGAGAGCTTTAATGATTGTAATAATGATGATGATGACTTTGACTTTGACTATTCAAGTGTTTATATATCTTATGTATTGTTTCATGTGACATTGAGTAAGGAGGTTCCCTTGTGGAGTAATAAAGTTCATAATAATAATTCATAATTTTATATTTTTCGTTTATGTAATTGTTATTATTGTTGTTTGTTAATGTTTAATAATATTTGTAATTTTATTTTTTAATTTTTTTTTTAAGTGGTTGCAAATGTAGCTACTGTGAAGACCAGCAGTAAAACAACACATTCCCCTCGTATAACAGCCCACAGCGGTGACGAGAAGCTTTCACCTGGAAACAGGACAGGTAACAAAATGCATGCCTTTTTTCCCCTTTCTTTAAGCCAGGCTCCAGAAAGAAAAAAAAAATTGATTAATTTTTGTGTATTAAACAACATATCATTTTTTTTCTTCCAGAGTCTGGCTTTAATATTTACAATTTCTGTTTGTGATAATTTAAATTTTGAAAAATTATGACCATAAGTTTCTTCATGATTTATCATAATAATAATAATAACAATATAATAATAATAATAATAACAATATAATAATAATAATAATAACAACAACAACAACAACAACAACAACAATAATAATAATAATAATAATTGATTTGAAATAATATTGTTAATTATTATAAAAGGTAATGTTAATTTCTTATTGTGATTTTAACAGTATTTGTATGTGTTGTTATATTTTTATATGTACTATTCTTTCTCCGTATTTAAGGGTGATTCAAAGAAATTTACAAAAAATTGGAAAGTCCAAAATGCTTCCAAAGTATCAAAGCTATTAGCACAGTTTAGAAATAGATTTAAATGAAATCAAAGTTACTAGATTTACATTATTGGCAATCGGTACAACTTTCTGCTGCAATTTGTCTTACCATCCCTGATTGTATTTGAGGTATTTTTGATGTTTGTATACCTGTACAGGTAACAACGGCCAAATACAACTGTGGCAGTTCCTCTTGGAGTTACTGACGGACAAAGATTCACGCGACTGCATCTGCTGGGTCGGGGACAACGGGGAGTTCAAGCTGATTGACCCCGAGATGGTTGCTCAACGATGGGGTGCCAGAAAGAACAAGCCGTTGATGAACTACGAGAAGTTGAGTAGAGCTCTGCGTTACTATTATGACGGCGACATGATAGCCAAGGTTCACGGCAAACGGTTCGTTTACAAGTTTGTGTGTGATCTACGCAATCTGCTGGGATACAGTGCTGCTGAGCTGAATAAGCTGGTCGTTGAATGCGAACAGCGTATTTTGTAAGTTGATACGTTAGTATTGTGGGATCATTTTAGACCTCTGACCACTTGATTAGCATATTTTAGTGCCTTTTAATCTCACTGACCACTTAAACATGTGACTGTTTAAGTTGTCATTGATGTTATAAGGACTTTCTGATCACTATCACTTATCCTTTTAGATCTTTTTTTTACTTATGGTCATGATAAAATCACATCATAATTATATATAGGCATATCATGGCTATATATAGAGTACTACAGTGTTACGTCATGATACCATGTGATACTACTCTGTTGCCATAATTGCGAAATGGGTTCAACCAGACGCCATTTTCTCCACTGACAAACCATTGATCCCAATTTCTAACGTAATTATTAATAAGTTGTATCTTTTAGTTTTTCTTTGTAAATTTTAATTCATGATTGAATGTGTGTTCGATAACATACAGTATATAATGCGAGCTTTTGTTTTTAGTACGTTTTGATGGTAAAAATATTAGATGTTAAAATGCGTATTCCAGAAAGCCTATGAAGTCATTTAGGCGTAATGAACAGTAACCAACGTCTGGTTGGCAACAGAGGGCGCTATCTGGTGTTGTGACGACACAACTGTGGTACTCTATGGGCATACACCAGTTTTTGTTTTTTTTTTGTCAAAGAAAATTTGTTAGGTTGGAAAGAGCTTTAGAATTGTAAGGAGCCTACTTTAACAAACTGACAGTGCGGCAATTCTTCACCATAGTGATTTAAAATATCCACTTTATACATTCAATCAATCAAATCTGCTTCAGATTTGAAAACTTAAATCATTCCTAGTAAGAATTGATAATTACCAACTTACTATACATGATATAGATTTATGATATTAATAGAATCACATTAATAAGAACTGTAGTTCAAATGAATGTGAAAGTGGATTATATAATTTATTGTCTGCCTTAACTGATCTTGATAAATTGTCTTTAAGTCTATAATCTATACTGTCAGTATATTTCATTAGGTTCAAAATATTGCTATAAATAAAGCTATAAATACTGTGCGGTGTAATTGTTGCGACAGTAATCATAAGAAACTGACAGTTGACATTGTTTGCTTCTTGTAGAAAGAAGAGGATGCACTCATCAGCCGGTCAGAAGAATTGAACGTTCTGTGTCCTGTCGTGACCTTGCCTCAGAAAACTGAAATAAATGGTTGATGTAAAATGGAAAGCTGGATCAGATATGTTGAAATTTGCATCATTTGTCAGTAGACTTTGATAGGGCTGAGCCCTTGTTACCTGGAGTTGCTTGCGAATCATTGTGAATTTGCGTAACACGCAATCGATGCTGGATACTGCTACTGGTTACCATGGGATTGAATGTTTCAATGATGCTCTAGTCTATTTTAAGATTAAGTATGTGCTTATGGTTAACATTTCTTAATAAGTGTTTTTGAATATTACAATTACATGCTTCTTTGTGAAAATAATGTTCATTTCTGGTACAAGTATTATCAATGGTAATTTCATCTTTGTATTCTGATACAGTACTACCAATATAATTGGTAGACAATACTTTTGGATTACAGATAGATTGCATATGTAGTTATAATTTTGACTGAGGGCAAAGAAATGTTCACATAACTGTACTGTACTGTAAAGTATGTACATAAAATGTAGGGGTCAGCATCCAAAATGTGTATTAAGAACGGTAGAGGGCAGCATTCAATTTGTGTATTACAAACTGTAGAGAGCAGCATCCAAAATGTGAATTACAAACAGTAGAGGGCAGCCTTAAACATGCTGAACCTCAAAATATAGTTACAAAATGATATGCTTGCAGTAGATATGTGCACCTTAAAAATGTTATTTTTTAACTAATGCTGTTATTTGTTAAATAATTGCACCATTACCAGAGGCATCATGGGAAGCTTTTGGAACGAAGCAAATGAAGACTGAGTTTATAAATTTTTTGGTTAGTGCTTAAAGATTTGAATACTTCATTTATATAATAGAATCACTTCTGGTTCATTGAAAAGGCTAAATTTATTCAAAGATGATGGTGAAAAAAATGACATCATCAAATTCAAGTAATATGTTGATAATTTGTAAATACTGTAAAACTGCTTTTGTATTATTGAAACCGTTAGTTATACTTACTACATGATTTTGATATCGCCATGCTGTAATTATGGAAATGGAACTGTTAGTAGCTTAGTTTTTAACTATATCCACTGTAAATAAGTTGTTGACATTTGTGGATATCGGTGCTTTCGGACTCTATTGTAAACAAATTAGATGTCTGTTGATTTTTGAATCGAAGATCCTGTAATTACAGATAAGCACACTTTCATTTTTCACATGCATTATATATAATATCTCTGTATCTAAAGCGCCCAGTAGCTAAAGAGTAGAAGTTATGAGTTTAAGTATGTCAATTATTTAGAGAATACTTATTAGTTTACTGGAAGCAAAGCTTTGAATGATGAAATTATTTTCCTGTTTAAAAAATTATTTAAACCATTTACAAGCAATATGTAATTCAAAATCTATCACTGTAAATGAAATCATATGTTCATGAAAGGCTGGTTTATGACAATTTTTTTTCCTAGTCAATTTATTTTTTTAAATAGAACAGCTTATTAACTTGTATCTTACCCAGCAACGTTCCACATACTGTGGGTCACGACCCATCAGTGGGTCTCAAAAATAGTTTGGTTGGCCACAAACTCGAAAAAAATCATCAAAAATCAGCTATCTGTAGTCTGTCACTATCACTCCATCATCCTACATGAAAACACTTGTTATTTTGTAATAATATTCAGTGTTAAACTTGACCATCTAACTTAAGAATTTGTTAATTACTAATTAAAATTTATTTATTTATCATCGTTAATTAACACCAGTGGAAGGGTATCCTTACAATACTTTCATGTGATTTACTATTATTCATTGCATATTACGCAATACCTGTCTTAAAAAATTATTTAAACCATTTACAAGCAATATGTAATTCAAAATCTTTCACTGTAAATGAAATCATATGTTCATGAAAGGCTGGTTTATGACAATTTTTTTCCTAGTCAATTTATTTTTTTAAATAGAACAGCTTATTAACTTGTATCTTACCCAGCAACGTTCCACATACTGTGGGTCACGACCTATCAGTGGGTCTCAAAAATAGTTTGGTTGGCCACAAACTCGAAAAAAATCATCAAAAATCAGCTATCTGTAGTCTGTCACTATCACTCCATCATCCTACATGAAAACACTTGTTATTTTGTAATAATATTCAGTGTTAAACTTGACCATCTAACTTAAGAATTTGTTAATTACTAATTAAAATTTATTTATTTATCATCGTTAATTAACACCAGTGGAAGGGTATCCTTACAATACTTTCATGTGATTTACTATTATTCATTGCATATTACGCAATACGCTGAGAAAAAAACGTGTCCTAATGAGAAAACCCAAGTGTGAATTCCACTTGGCCTCATAGCTCAGTTTGTAGAGTATCCGAACGGTAATCAGAAGGTCTTGGGTTCGAATCCCGATGGGGACATACGTTTTACTGGGAGAGCATTGCTATATTATATGCTGGTAAAGAATTTATTGGCAACCAGTTTTATTTCTTAAATTAACATTTGTATCAAATTAAAATATCAGATCAATCGTGTGTATTTTGGTAAATATTGTTGATTTTTATTCCTTCTTTTTGTAGTCTATGTATGTAAGTATTTATTAAAGTGAATAATAAATACGTTTTCACAGCTATAGATGGTCTCAGCATTCAGTCATTTATAAATTGTATATTTATTAAACTAATCATCGGAATGAGGTTACTAGGTGTTGGTAGGCTTGTAGTAAAGTATAATACAGTAGAACCCCTATTAAGGGGACACCTTCAGGATCAAAAAAGTGTCCTCTTAATAGGGGTACACCTATTCTGGGGACTCCAACCAAAAACGTGAAATTGTCTCTTTAATAGGAGGTTTGGGGCATGTTTTTGTATAATGATGACATAGCTTCCTTATAATTTTATTTTAATTGACCTAAGAATGAGTTGGTTTAATTATAACTAATTTATAACAATAATTTGCATGCAAAAAACAATTCATTTAAGATATGAAATTAACAGATATGTAATTAAAACTACAACATTTGTGTGTCCCCTTAATAGGGGTTGGCTGTAGTGTTTAAAAGATATATTGCCCCTCGTTTCACGGAAAATTTCCCCCTTAATAGGGGTGTTCCAAAGGAGGGGTTCTATTGTATTAATGCTTTCCAATTTTCAGTACAGTATCTGTGATACAATATAACAAATTCAACAAATTGTAGGCCTATGTCAGTTATTCAAAGTAAAGACCATTAATAGTAGCCTATAATATTAATTCGCTGCATTTGTAATACAAAATATCAAATTTAACAGAAGGGCCAATAGTACCAAATGTAGGCAATTACGAAACAACACATGAGCCGCCTGAAACTACAGTGTAAAAACAATACTATATAGGCTATAGAAAGCAAAGGATAACCATTTAAGACCTATGGCTTATTTCAGATTGATTCCGAAAAGCACATATTGCCGGAAATAAAGGTTAACATACAAGTAAGGCCTATTTAGATAATTTTTTAAGCGATTATTTTTTCGTTGATTAGTAACGATTAAAACAGTTAGGCCTATACAACACTAATAAACAAACCAGATGAAAATATTCGATGTTTACAAATTAAGCCTGTGTATTGTTTACATATTTAGACATTAAAATCGATTAAATAATCCTTTCAAATACCTAAATTGTAATAGCTTCACGGATCTTCGCTGCTGGACCCCTCCAATGGATTCTGAGTTACGCCTATCCACGCCTAGTTACTCTCATAAAGATAGACGCCACCCCACCCCACCCAACTCCTATACCACACCTCCGTTGGGAAAATCCAGTCTCCACCAATGTATGAGAAACGAAAATAGTAGTCCATAAGATTCCTTATATTTTTGAGTTGTATACAATATACAATTCAAATATATCTTAAGTAACTTATATAAATACATAATAATGTATGTATAGTATACATAGACCTACATCAGGCCAGTAGCCAGCTAAGATTACCATTATGGGGTGCCGGCGGGGAACAATTGGGAGGCAGAGCCTGTTGAATTGCAGTTTCGTTGTTTCATATGCCAAAATTTTGGCGTACCGATAGATTACAGGTTAAAATTCAAAGATTTTTTACTTCCTTTTAATTTTCGTTATACAAAATTAGAAATTGTTCATCAGTAATGATAATAATAATATTTAAGCATTTATATAGCGCTCTTTACCGGAGTCTCTCACAGCGCTTAAAAGTATGAATTATGGAAAAGGGTGAGTTTTAAGAAGAAATTTGAATTGAGAAAGAGTCGGAGGTTGACGGTGGGAAGTTGGTTCCAGAGAAAAGGTGAAAATAAATAAAAGCCTTTGGGGACAGAAAGTATGTTTTTGGTGTATATAGTATAAAAGGATCAAGTTCAGAACGAAGGCCAGCACATAAAGGAGGCCTATATAAAGTTATAAGTTGATGTTAAAAGTACATTCCGGACGTCAAAAGTGGATCTTTCTCGATTTTGGGGATGTAATGCGTACGTTCCCCTTCTCCCCTCCTCTATACGGGCCTAATATATTTATTTTATACCTTATAACAACAACAGATGGTAGAACAATATTCATATTATGAAATTACTGCATGACGACGTCTTCCGTGACTTCCCGCGTGAGTATGAGTCTAGTATGTTCGATACAATGTGATACAATATCTGTACTAATCGATGATAACTTACTGATTGGAGATAAGTTCCCGTTCGAAGTTCACACATCACGTTTAGAGGTCTAGTTTTACATAGTTTTTGTCTCAGCATTGAAATCAAAGGCGTTGAAGATATAATACTATGATTTTCCGTGAGGTCCAGCTAGTGTTGTTCACTATTTTATTATGCACAGACCAAGGTAAGTGGACATGTACTTACTCCTACTATTATTAGATGCTGACGTCAGGCCGGCCGTATATAAAAAACATAATTATGAGGATGGCCCAGCACTTGACCGAATTAGTTATTCCTTATTCCTATTCCTTAACTATTGTGTTATGGTACTCAAATCCTTCAATGTAATCAGTAATAAATCAAAGTAATAGTAAGTTGGTAGCTCCTATTATTTATTAACGAAAATTATTCGCGCTGAATGTGACACGACCCGGCGGCCGTCATTCATTAGCACACCCCGGCCTCGGTGAAAATTGGCAGTACGTGTTTATCAGATTTAAAGTATACATGTACAGCAGTTTAAACAAATATAACGGGCGGAAGAAAAGTAGACATACATATGAGGTGTGACAGTGCACATAGAGTGTAAAAAAAAAAACCAAAAAAAACCCCCAAAAAACAATGGAACAATATGAATTTTATATATAGTCTATATAATAAATGGATACATAATAATATACTGTATTGTGTAGTTGGTTGCAACCAGACAATTGGGATCCAGTTCATGGCACTGATTGCAAAAAGAAAGATTTTTCCGAGAGTTCGTTTGTGTGTGAGTGCACAGCGAATTATTGTGATGACATCGACCAGGATTTCGATGCGTTGCCAGGGCAATACATCGCGTACACGTCGACTAAAGATGAACTTCGACTGAACAGGACCACTTCAAAGTTAGTTCCCGACACAGATGAGTCTGGTAAGTGCTTATGTTGAGAGTATGAATAGTATGGATGTATCCTTGTACAGTAGGCCTACGCAAAGATATGAATTGCCAGTACCAATGGATATGGAAACACGTATTAAGCAGATACAATTAATTTACTAAATACATTTTATAATGCTATTGAATAGCAACAATTGTTTAATTAATAGTTAACTGGACGTATTTATATGAATTATTATTAATAATAATATTATTATTAATATTAATATTAATATTGATAATATTAATAATACTAAAAATAATAACTATAATAATTATAACAATACTGGTAATAATAATAATAATAATAATAATAATAATAATAATAATAATAATAATAATAATAATAATAATAATAATAACAAAGATATGCAATGCATTTTTCTGATCACATTATAGTATACATTTTTTGTAAAGTTTCTATTTTATTATAAACTTTTTAGCCGCTTGTGCTACCTCGTATGTTTTTTGTTTTTTTTCTTTTTGTTTTTTTTTAATTTTTTTTTTTTTTTTTTTTGTAAAGTATTACAAAAACAAAAATAAGTAAAGCAATTAGTGTGGCGCGCAAATATCGACACTCTAAGTACATACATATCATAATATATAAATAAACAAATTTATAATCAGACTGAAGTAAATATATTTTAAGTACCTGCATTTTGCTCATAGGTGATCTGCGTTTGACAATCAACCGTACAGCTCGTTACCAGAAGGTGCTTGGTTTTGGAGGAGCCTTCACAGATTCCGCTACAATTAACATAATGAAGCTGTCGGAATCTGTACAAGAGCACGTTCTCAATTCATATTTTTCAAAAAATGGTCAGTATATCTCAACAATAAATTGTGCAGTTTACATTTCAAAGGCTGATCAGAGATGTTAAATGGTGAATCACCTGATAACATGTCTGGTACGCTACGGGTGGCGTGGTCTGATTTCCGGAATCTGATTTAGAAATTCGGTAGTCACAAACTCCATTGAAATTATACACCCCCTCTTTCATCACTTAAATAGAAGTTGGTAGAATTTGAGTGTTCGAATATGACGCATTACTTGATCGATTAATTAATCAATCGATTAATTAACTGATTAATTGACAGATTGATAAGTTGGTTGATAGATCAATTGCTTTGTTGATTGACTGAGATTGGTTAATTGATTGATTAAATGACCAATGAATTGATTATTGATTGATTGATTGATATTGATTGATTGATTGATTGATTGATTGATTGATTGATTGATTGATTGATTGATTGATTGATTGATTGATTGATTGATTGATTAATTGATTGATTGATTGATTGGTAGTGGTAGATAGGTTTGTTGGTTTATAATAATGAATTGTTCAATTGTTTGAGTGAGTGATTAATCGATCGATCGATTGTGGTAGACAGATTAATTGACTGGTTGATTGATTGAGTGATTGATTGATCAATTGGTGGGTAGTAATAGGAGGTAGGTTGTTTAGTTGGTGAGTTGCTTGAGTTCTAATACCGGTAATACATTCACAACGCTATCTTATGGTGAATTGAATGATCGATTGATTTATAGATTAATCGATTGCATTACATATATTATATTTCACAATCGGACTTTTCTCAATCATAATTAAAATTTTAAATCAACTATGTCTATTTTGTATTAGTTTTCTTCAATCTGGTTTATAGGTATTGAATATAACATGGGAAGAATTCCAATGGCAAGCTGTGATTTTTCGACCAGAAATTATTCATACGATGACGTCCCTGGAGACTTTAACCTCACCAACTTTGCGCTTGCAATGGAGGACCTAACATACAAGGTGAGAACAATCTCAACTTACTGTTACATTCACATTTCACATATAAAATGTAGCACGCCCGCCTACCAAAGACATTTTGTAGACCATGGACGCACATGCGCAGGAACATAACTGATCACGATTCAACTGTCAAGAACTTTGACCAATAGCAGCACATGATGCTTTGTTGTCTCTTAGATACCGATTATTAAGAGGGCGGAGGCAGTAGCTAGTCGACCAATCAAACTTTTTGGTAGCCCATGGGGACCACCGTTTTGGATGAAAACCAATCAAGATATGACCGGAGGAGCACCTCTGTATGGCGAACCTGGGGGGAAATATTACAAAACATGGGCTTTGTACTTTGCTAGGTAAGACAAGTCAGTTTGTGTCTGTTTTTGAGTAAATCTCCTACTTTGAGTCTACAAACCATGACAAAAATTAAAGTAAGGCATTCCACTTTATGACACAATAATTAAACGAATTGTCACGGTATTGTATTCGTGAGCTAAGAATTGCATTATTTAAAAAAAAATGTATATTATATACTCGAAGTAGGGCCTATTTGAAATGCACGCCTCCGTATTGAATCCCGACACGATGGAGTGCATTTCAATACTTTGTTATCTGAGATTAATGAGTGGATCTTTTGGTTTTTGTAATGTTTTAATTTGCTTGTTTTTGGTGTTGTTTTACTGGACTGGGAACGTGGGTTTTACCGCAAGAGCCCGTAGACATTAGCCTACAGCATTGGGATATTCAGTATGAGTTAATAGTTTTTTATTTCTAAAATTTTTCGCTTTAAATGTTTGCATTCATCAACATCCAGCATTTTATCATTTGCTACTATCCGTCACCGCCATAGGTTCATCGAGGAATATGCTAAGAAAGATGTAACCATCTGGGGGTTGACTGGGGAAAATGAACCGACAGCAGGGGAGGTGGAGCGTTACCTCTGGCAATGCTTGTACTTTAATGCGTCGATGCAAAGAGATTTCATCAAACTAGACCTTGGACCTCAACTAGCTAAAAGTGGATTTAGTGACGTCAAATTGATGATTTTAGATGATCAACGCTTCTTGTTGCCCGGATGGGCTGAAACAGTAATGAATGGTTTTAAGTATATTCATATAAATTTCTAATAGCATTCTTTTACTGATAGCATTCTTTTACTGATAGCATTCTTTTACTGATTATCTGTTTATTATAAACAATAGAAATATCTTAGAATTTTTGCGATTTGTAGTTAGAACTACATTCTATCAAAATTCTGTTTTCTTTAAAACACGTTGGAATACTTTTTGACCCTTCTGCTCTTTCCAATGTGCTTTACTCCATGTTTAAGTTCTCTGCTGCCTTAACTTTCTTTGAAGATAGAAGCTCTTTTACTATATGATTTTGTTGTAATTTACTTGTTATTTCATTGATTTTACCTTGATGCACAATGATTTTATTTTATTTTTGAATTATATTATTCCATTAAATTGTATATACATTATTATTCTTTGTAAATTTTATAAATTGATTAAATTGACAGGTATATTTATAAAATTATACAAGCAAACGCTTTCTGTTATCAATATTTGTGTTACACTGAAATGATAATAGGCCTATGCCTACATGTTAATTAGTCAAGGAATCAATGATTATTGTCAACAACACAACATTAACAGCCGAAATCCAGGTGCTTGAACAATGTAAGAAATAAATATATAAAGATATACATATTTAAGTGTTATATTACAGACATTTAACTTACAATATATAAAACAAACTAAACAAAAAGAGTAAGGTATAAATATATACTATATTTTTAATTTTAATAATATTTATATATTTTTCAAGGTACTGAGCGACGAAGAAGCCGCCCAGTACGTGTCTGGTATCGCAGTACATTGGTATTACGATGATTTATTCCCGGCAAGCGTCTTAACGCAAACCCACGAACTCTTTCCTGATTACTTTATGCTGGGGACAGAGGCATGCGAGGGATACCTTCCCCTTGACCGTGCTGTGATACTAGGGAGCTGGGAACGCGGTGAAGCTTACTCTAAGGATATTATCGAGGTAGGATGAAGATATATAAAGGATTATCGTATGTGGAGGGCGGCCGGGACAAGAGCCGCGTCTGGGAGAGCTTCCCTTCCCCAGCTTCCTGGAGAAAAATACAATTCGTCGGGCAGAGTGTTGTGAATTATGCGATAATTACTAACTAATAAATTCAATTATTATTTAAGCTTAAAAGTAGATGTGGCATTTGCAAAAAAAGGCCCTACTGTTTTTGTGATCTGTAGGTGCCACAGAACACAAAACAACCGGAAACGGCAGGGTATGAAATTCGTTTTGTCGACAAAAACCATGCGTTTTTCCTAATTTAGGCTATTTTTCACCAGTCTTATTAGGTTATTCTTCCATTCGAAGGATCCGTAAATCCGTAAGTGCCAAAGAACACATTCGTGTGATCCTCAGGATCAGGATCAGTGTTCTGTGGCCAACAGAACACAAAACAACCAGAAATGGCATGGTCGAAAAATCATCAATCGTCTTTTCAATCGTGATTCTTCCATTCGTAGGATCCGAGGTGTCACAGAATATATTCGTATGATCCGTATGTACAAACATGGAGATATAAAATAGATAATATTTTCAAACCTCAATGGTACAACAGAATAACAACTGGAAATGGCAGGGTCGAAAAATCGTTCATCGTTTTTAGGTTATTCTTCCATTCGCAGGATTCGTAGGTTTTACCGAAAATATTCGTATGATCCGTAGGTGCCACAGAGTGGCATGGTCGAAAAATCGTCAAATTTTGACCTTGCAAATATTGTTATTGAAATAATTATATTTTATATTAAATTGTTTTCATACCTTTCATATGCTCCATAGTTTCCTTCTCTGTTTCCAGGACATGAACAACTTTGTCGCTGGATGGGTTGATTGGAATCTAGTTCTTGATATGGAAGGCGGTCCCAACTGGGTTTCAAACTTTGTAGATGCACCGATCATCGCTGACCTGGAAAATGACGTCATCTATAAACAGCCTATGTTTTATCATTTGGCTCACTTGAGGTATTTCATATTACAGATACTTCTTACGATACGAAAGGAATGTTATGAATCTATACTGGAATTGAATTAATTAAATGATTAATTCAATATAACTATCAGCATTTATTGCTGGAACAGATGCCAATTATATGTATATGCCTATATGACTTGTAAGAAAAAGAAACATTATTAAAAAACAATACGATGTAAAATTACCTACAGATAGGCCTACATACTTGGGTAATGGAACTGCTTTGGTCGTTATATAGTTTCAGCAACATTGAAACACTTAACCTGAATGTAACTCAATATGTTAAGGCCTGTTTACACATGACGATAACGTTCAACGATACTAAAAGCTAAAAAGCAATTCAGAAAATAAAAGAAATGTGAAGTTTTCACACTAGCACGATTCGATAACGATTTATCATAATACGATAAAACGACATCGTCTATCCTATTGGACCACGCACCGACCATGATTGCTTTTAATTTTATTTTATCCAGTAAATTTGTAGAACCAGACTCTGTGCGTATTGGCGTGACAACAAAATGTACTGCCACCAGCGGCTGTAATAAGTTCGACAGCATTGCCTTTGAATTACCTGATGAATCCGGACGAGTTGCTGTCGTTGTTTCTAACCGGTATGAATATATTTCACGAACGCTTTACAAATCCTCATTGTTGAAATAAATCAATAGATAAATGGAAGGATGGATAAAAGAATAAAAGAATCAATGAGTGGATGGACTAACGGACAGACAAACTTTGCTAAGTGTCCTTTCTAAAAGCAACATTTTTTTTATTAGCACTTGAGTTACAATAGTATAGTAAATCAAAACATTCATTTATTCTTATTTTACTGTAGGAACAATAAACAAGCTGACATCAAAATTTGTGAAACTGAGGTTGGATGTATACGCACAACCGTCGCCTCTCGCTCCATCCAAACCTTTATTTACACCAACAAGCCGGCAGATTCAACATCAACTCTTTCCTTCTCTTATTTCACCACGTTTTTGGGGCTTTTGATGTCGATATTCTGGAACTCTTAGGCAATTTTAAGAACAAAATTACTTCTGTATTACCTATATTTACAGGTCACTGTTTTAATCAGTTCTGTTAGTTGATTCTTTAGTTTTCATTTGTTTATTTGTTGTATGTATTCAGTGGCGTAACGAGTCATAGGCCTGGGGGCGACTAAATGTTGGGGCCCCGTGCCAGTAAAATATTTTCACTCACAAAGTGTCCGGGGTGTGGATAATGTTCCAACTAAAAACAAATATCTGAAAATATGTCATTGAAGTACTCATCAACTATTGAGTATTCAACCATAAATCAAACTTTGTGTTCACACAAAAAATTGTTAATTGTGCATCGTCATTCAAATATGATTTATTTTATTTATTTTTTGGTACTGTATTTGATATTGGTAAAAGCCTCTTCGGAGCTCCATCGTTTTATTTATATTTATTTATAATGTACCATTCGAACAGCAGACCAACACTGGGTTTCGGATACCCTTTTGACTGAGGTCCCGGGGCTACACCCCAGAAAGCTCACGGGCGTTACTCCACTGTATGTAGTGTAATTGTGCTGTTAAGTGTCATGGAAGAAGTTCGGATTTAGTGTGAATGCACATTGTTAATTTAATCCTGCTTGACGTCAGTTCACACGATAACTTTTTTATGCTTTTATGTTAGGCTAAGTTGTTTCAAATGTAAGTTTTGAAATGTAAATTTTGGATCAAAATTTACACACCACTGAAACATTCTGACGTGATGCGGGTATCTTTTTTTTCGGAGTACAATACATCAAGATTCAGATTCAAAGGGTTTACCTTGGTTGTCGTGTCGAGACCTAATTCATCTTTATAGGCCTACTAATGCTCACCTTCCCTCTCCCCTTCACGTATTTCCTGAATAAGGAGTTGCGAAGCGCCCATTGAAAGGCAAAGGTCGGCTTGAACGAATGGATCGCATTTGTTTAATGAAAGATAGATCAACATTCTTTGTAGTTGTACTACTCGTCTGTGTTATACATTAGCGACTATGATAATAAAGTACCGAAAACTGCGACAACATTTCTTAATTGAAATACAAAGTTATTAGCATCATCATCACTATCATCAACATCATCATCTGCACCGACACCAACATCTTTATAGTATTATTATTTAATTTGAATATAGTAGCCTATTATGTTGTTATATAAAAAACCCAAACATATCATATACTATCAATTCTTTCTAATTAAATCATCAAATAAAGGTAAATACAGTGTTCGAATAAAGGACATAATACATCGTGTAGCGTAGCTCTCAACGAATTTTGTCCTATAAATAAATGAATAGTGTAATAAAATTTATCTGACAGGATTCGAACCTCCGACCTCTCACCGTCAAGGCGAGCGTCATAACCATTAGACCACATAGCCTTTGTGGTTAACATTTGTTGTGATTGTATTACTTTTGTGTTGTACATTAGCAACTATAATTAAGTATCGAAAACTGCAATAACATTTCTTTGTTAATTGACAAAATGATGCCATTGACATTGAAAAAATGATGCACGAGATTAACATCTACTTGAATCATTTTCATCATGCCATCTGATGGACATGCCATCTGAGTAGAATGGTTGTGTCCAGCTCTAAGTAGCAAGTGCATAGACATGATAAGAAGACGACGAAATGTTTCTATTTATGATGAAATCAACAATCAGGAGTCATGTACATTTTCAATAAGCAGGATTTTATTTCATCTTGCACCTTAACATAAATAACAAACAATTATAAACAACAGAATTTGAAAGAAACTTACTAAGACTAAGTGTAACTATTGCAAATTTCCCTAATGGTTGACCTTCCATTACAAAAATGCATATTATACAAAAAATTACAAACAATAATAAAAATAATAAATTCATTAACATTGAAGTGTCTTTTTTAAATCCAAAAATAGTTTTAATCGGTCATCACCTTGGAAGCTTAAAAAAAGATAAACATAACAAATAAAAATAGTGTGTATACCGGTATCATAATGATTCTGACATTCAAATGATTACAGCTGGACAATGGACCTTTCCAGGGTGTCAATCAAACTTAACAGACCAATCAGAACGGGACAAGAAATACGCGCTTATCTTGTCCAACAAACGCTGGTGTTTGCATAATGTTTTACAATGCCGTTTTATAGGACCTTAGGAACAATGTCTGAAAAGGCGGGGCGAGCTTAGCGAGAAAAGTCTATTCTCCGAGATCTAAATGGACACAGGCATCTAGGGTGATAAAAAAAAACATATTTTTTTTTTTAATTTTTTGAACTTACTGATAACATTTATTTCTTTTCTTTTTCTTATAAATTACAAAAGAAAATAACATATAACTTAATTATTAAAGATGTATTGTCCCTTGCTGATGTCAAAAAATCATAAAAAATTAGTTTGAAATAAACTTGCTCATATTGCAATAGCATTCAAATGACTTGTGCATAACAATTAGTGAATTTAAAAAACGTGAACCCCGATTTTTAAACCAAAAAATTATAATAAAAAACTTCCAGTGACTGGAAGTGTTTCTATCATTTTTCGCTGTAAACTGATGGGTAGACATTTTTTAAATACACTAATTTCTATGTTCAAGTTGATAACTTTATGTTAATTCAGAATGGGCAAGTTAATTTAAAAAAATATTTTTATGATTTTTTTGGTACTTATTTGGACAATACATCTTTAAAAGGAACACATCCCAAAAAGCAAGACTTGTGAAACTCAAAAACAAAGATTAATTAAAATATAGCAATAACACGACATGACAGGACACTACAGGAGAAAGGGAGATAAAGAAAAAAAAAAGGAAGAAAAAACAACGAAAGAAACACAGATGTTCAAGTAAGATGATTTGGCCATAGATATATACAGAAAATTAATTAAACGTAGTAAGACAGTAGGTATTTCTTCAGTTCTCTTCAGTTCTCTTCAGCGTTTCAGAGGACGAACTTTTTATTTGATGGGGAATTTTTCAATTATTCCAGGGTTAAGGACCAGTGTCCAGAATATTATGTCGAAAAGATATTGAAAATGAGTAACTAGAAAATTTCACAATTTTGGATTTATTTAAAGGACTTCCTCCGCAGAACCAACCTGGGCCCTGCTACATGACCTCACTGAGGGCGCTCACGATAGCCCTGCATGTACATAACAATTTTAAAGTTACAAAAAAAAAAAATGATACATTATCTAGATCTAGGCCTATGCATTGGCTGAGATGTATAGATATAATAAGCACAAATGCAATGGACGAATGCAGCAATTCACTGAAGTCCCAGAAGCAAAATTAACAGTTTGCAGGCCACTGCAGTCAACCTAGCATTGTTGAAGCAATTATATATAATGTCCCTGTAATATAATTTGTGTAATATATATAACTGGAATTACAATGTAACAAATGATTGGGACATATTGTTTTGAAAACAAATGATGTAAAAGATGTTTCAATCCATTGCAGCGATTCCAGCTATTTTTCAAACACTGATGTCCATTAGTTCACACAAAAAAACACACACCAGATTGCCATGGTTAGCAAAACATATGTGCCATGGGCTTGCAAACATTTGTTGACAACAATGGATAATATAAAAAAAAAAAACATGGTTACCATGTTTATAGACACTTATTAACAACACTGGGTAAAAAATATCTGGTTGCTACGTCAGTATGTCTTACAAACACATGGTTGCCATGGTTCACAGAAACTTGTTAACAACACTGGGTGAAAATTCCTAGTCGCTTTGGCTTACAAAACACATGGTTGCCATGGTTAAAAACATTTGGTTGTCATGGTTCACAAACTGATTTACAACAAGACTGGGTCAACAATACCTGGTTGGTATGGGTTAAAAACACCTTGTTGCCATGGTTAATTAAGCTATGGTTGCCATGGTTTACAAACACCTGCATGTCAACAATGCCAAACCAGGTCACCAAACACCTGCTTGCCACCACTAGATAAAAACTAATTTAATAAAATATAAGTATATTGGACTTAAAAATTATCAAGATATTATATTTGAAATTTTAGTACTAATATTTTTTTAACCTTATTTTGGGAAAGTTAAACAATTTTAAATATCCTTTAAATGAACATCAATATATTATTTTAAATCTCAAATAATTAAAATTTAATATTTCATTATTTATAAAAAATTCTTAATAATTTAACAAGTAAATATAAAAAAATAAATGTAAGAAGATTTTAATATAAGTAGTAATTATGAGTAGACATTTAAAATAACATTGGCAATTTCATAAGATGATACATATAAATGACTTGTGCTAATCTAATTCATTAGATGGTCATTGGTTAGATATAATTTCCATAGATCTCTAGTACAGCATAGCACATTCAATCAGTACCGTACCAATGTTTCTTTTTTTGATTATCTATTAAATATATTATTTACATTTCCCTCACCTATTAGACATCATCATAGCACCCACACCTTACAGACACACATAACACATATACATATCCCTCTCTCCAACATCACACAATTATGGTTTATGATTTTATATTTATATAGCGCCTTCCACGATCGAAACCGTCTCAAGGCGCACATACCGGTACCCTTTTCTGCACAAACATATACCAACGAAAACTCCAATTAAGGGTCTGGACCGCAGCTTTAGGTAGATTATTCCAATCATTAATGACTCATGAGAAAAACTTTCTCCTAACCTTTCCATTGGGCCTAAGTTTAGCCAAATTTATAGGGTGTCTTCTAGTTCAAGAGTCGACATGAAAGATGGAAAACTTTCTCTTATCAAGAACATCACATCCTCTGAATAAATCTGAACACTGTACTTTGTACCAATTTGCCTGATGCCGTCTAAATTCCAGAAGTGGCAGTTTGAAATGATGCAATTTTTGCTCATAGGGCAAATAATTTAGGCCTTGAACCATCTAGTTTGCCTCTTTTGAACTCTTGTAATGTCATTACTATGCCTCTTAGTTTTAGCAGCTTTAGATTTTCTGCCTGCCTCCACAGAGGCGGCTGTTGCTGGCAATCTTTTTGTTACCATGGCATGTAGTGGGCTTACATTTCACGCAGCCCGGCGATCTAGGGCCGGCTTTGTCTGGACTCGAATTCCAAGTTTCCTTTGCAATATCATAACTAGAGCCCTTGAGCCCAGTATTTTGTAAAAATTCCACTTTCCAGTCTCTAAAAAAATATTTATTACAACACTATAGATTTACTGGAAATTGTATTTCTTGTTTTTACACAAATATTAACAAATAAATTACTTCACTTCCGTGTATCACACGAAACAATTTAACACATGGTGGAAAACTGTCAGCACATGCAGGATCACACATTATTTCAAACGATCACCGTAACGAAATAAAATAAAAATCCTCAGATATTTAACAAATAAAGTTAACAATCACGATTTTGTAAAGCAAAAGTATGAAATGGTAAGTTATCAAACAAGGAATAGAACACAAATAAAATTCAAGAAAAAAGTAAGATAACAAATTAGTATTATCAGATTCAAGTGTTTTGTTAGTTGGGCTTAGAAATCTGAAATGGTTTGAGATTTGCTGATTTTGAACATGAAGTTGTCGAAAGTCTTGGAAAAATTACGAAGGATGGGTAAAAAAATGTACTGGTATCTGTTAATAAATCTCCATAATGCAGACAAAACGGAAAACCTGTACGACTTGAAAACACAGCCCCTCTCTCTACGGCTATACTACATTGATACACTAGTTCTTGTCAGATCAATGTTAAGCAACATACGGCTTTATAATACATAAAATGCAGACTATTTTGAGAAGACTGGTGCCTCAGGCCTGAGTAATAGGTAAATGGTCAAGTGATACGGCTGGGGTATCTCTATCTACAGCTCCATAAGTTATCACCATTGAAGGTTTGAATTACCCCTTCCTCATGGTTCCAGTTTCTGGATCAGATTTCTCTCTCAGATAAAGACTAAGCCGTAGACCAAGAGCAAAGTCTTCCGTGCACTTTAAAGAACCCAAAACATTTCTCAAAATGAGTAGGTGGTTCTGATCTATTTCAATAACTCTTCCTGACAACAGAAGGACCCCACTGATAAGAAGTCTTCAGACTGTTGCATATTTTTGGTGTGTCAGACACCATAGACAACCAACATACTACCCTACCACAGACCCACAGTACCCATTTCTCTCAATCTTCGTACACATCCAGGCACGCCCTCATTTGCACACATATCCAGGCACCTCGCCTTCAAAAGCAAAAACATCCAGGCACCTCTTCAAATTCAAAAGCAAACACATCCAGGCACTCCTCATATGCACACATCCACACAAAATGATTATGCTAGCTACACATGAGATTAACATATTCACTATATCTTTATAGTACATAATCTACTATCTGATAATACTTGGCTTATGTGAGTTTAAGTTCTTGATATTTCATTAGCATAAAGGTAATAATAATATTTTTTCTTGCATGCTGCATTTTTGGCCATTAACAGAAATGGTCCATGGCACCCGGCTTTTGGAAAAAAAACACCTGGGTTATAAATCCTGCTGGTTTGTTGAATAATAATGGGTTCTTAAATTATTTATAGCCAGTGAAGCCCATGAGATGAGAAGTGAGTGATTGTAATGGGTTTCTTGTTTACATTCCGATGGCTATATGTTTGCTCTCTTGTTAACTCCCAATGGACATTCTTAAAACCAATTCAAGTTTATGGAGTTGCTGACAGCTCTCCCTCTGGACCATTTGACAACTCAATCTCAACCATCAGACAGCTCACTATGGACCATTTCTGCTAACGGGAACTTTTGCCTCATGGATATTGTAACAACCTCAATAAAATCCTTCTTAGCTTCCTATTTCCATTTGTTATAAAAAAAAAATTAGTTTGTATATATAAACAATTTAATATAACTTAATACAATTTTACAATAAGTGTTTACAATCATAAATAATCTATAAAATAGATGTTTTGATCAAATTTCAAGAAGTCCTTTATCTTTGCAGCACTGTCTGCAATCACGTTACTATGTAACTGAAGATGACTTGGAGTCAGACGGAGATCTGTCAGTCAGTATTTGTGGAATGGAATTAATGTTTGGTATATCTGTAAAATAGGATCCGTCAGAATCATCTAAACTTCCTTGACTATGTTGCATACTGCTGCTACCAGATGTGCAAGATGTGACCAAAGAATCTGTGAAAAAAAGACAATATTGTTTAATGTAAAATTAGATTTAAATGGCTAAATACAAGTCTCTGTTCACACTAGCACATTTCCTATGACGAGTATCTGTGACTTGCACGTACTGTACGTGGATATGAATAAGAGACAGGTACGTATACCGATACACACATACATACATGACTATTTTATCTTTTAAAAACTCTCTTAATTCTTAATTATTTGTATTGTATACACATATTTAGGAATGTTTATGTTACTTGCATCGCTTTTCAATATTTATTTAATTATGCAACTGCACCACTTTGAAAAACAGTACACAAATACTGAAAGCGCATGCAGTAAAAATACAGAATAAATAAATATATGAAAGAGATATCAAATAAAATAGAAAAGTATTTTTATACCTGTACAATTACTAATAGAGTCCAGTTCTGAATTCCCATTATGAAATTCTACATCTTCACATTCATGACCTAAAAGAAAAATTGTTATTATTTTAATTGATTAAAAATAGTTAACAGTGATGCATTGTATACTACATATACAAAACAACAACATAAATTTATGCATTTATAAATTTATGCATTTATTGAATTTTAATATTTTTTTTTGGCTATGATAAGCTATCAAACTCATTTACTGTAACTGATAAGCCATCAATCGAAACAAGATAAATACACATACAAAATATCAATATTTACAATTCTGTTTTTTTTTTTTTTTAATTATTATTATTATTTTAAAACCATATTTTATGGAGGGTGACCTGGTATTGGTAAGATATATCTGAAACAAACAGTATTAGATACTGACTTATCCAAAATTTTCAAAAGTGGCCTTAGAAGTGATTGTGACAGAATTAATGAAAAATTGGGGCAGTTGGAATGGGAGGTCAGTACACAGGGACATGAACTGTAGCCTAACAGAATCTATTTTGTTAATGAAAACTACAACTGCAAAGAAGTGCCCTGCCCTTCCCCTCCTGCCTGAATCCATTCTGACAGTGTATAACGTGTATAACAATTTACTTACCATTATGTTCATACATACTTGCTTGCTGTTGTTGTAACTGTTGTTGTTGTTGTTGTTGCTGTTTCTGTTGCTGTAGTTGTTGTTGTTCCTGCTGCTGCTGTTGTTGTTGTGTTAAGTACTTATGTAGCGGCAGACTCTGTTGCATTGGAGAGACTTGATAGCTTTGAAGCGATGACAAATCATTCAGCTGGCTCGTGTATGGATCAGGTGAACTTGACATAAGGAACCTAGGCTTCGGCTGATGCTGATCGCACGGGGGGCTGGAGTTGTTATCGCTGCACGAGTCGGCCGAGGGTGGTGTCCACCGTTGAGTCGGCGGTGTTGGTGAGTGATCTGTGTTTACACTAGCCGGCTGGTAAGGTATATGAGGTACACCATCCTGGTAGGTGATGTTTCTGGAAGCGAGTGGGTTTGTTGTTATGTGCACAGTAGGCCTGTTTGGCTTTTGGAACGTGCTACAAGGTGATGCAGATCTAGCTTGGTAAGGAGTGCAGGAGTTGCTCTCAACTGGTTTTACAAATACTCCTGGAGGTAAATGTTGCATTCCATCTAAAGGTGAAAATATATACCATAATTGACAACTAAAAATATACCAAAAGTTTGTATCATAATGTCATCTCTACGTGGTTAGATTATAATTTCAAATTAGTTTTAAATAATAAATTCTTTGTTTGGTGGCAGTGACTCAAACAAGAGAGTTTTATGAAGTTAAACTTGCTAAAGTCGAACCCAAAATGCCATTGAAAAATTGTTCGACTTAGAAAAAATTTGACTTACAGATTGCTAATTAATAGAAAATACAACAATTTGGCATTGTTAAATAAACTCAAATTAGAAATTATTCGAGTTAAGCAAAGTCGACTTACGCAAGTTAAACTGTTTTACTGTTTTGCATAACCATCCACAAATGTCAATAATTTTTAGGCCAAGTGAAAAATATACCTTAGTGAAGTTACACAGTAATTCAAAACCATTCAATCTTTATTATGAATTGTTTTATTCATATTCACTGGCAAAAACCTAAGCTCTTTCTTTACTATTTTCTGTTTTGACATTAGGCTATAACTGAGAAAGTCTTTGCCAGTCAACTTGGATGACAATAGGCAGCTTTCGATTCCATGATGACGTTAGAATCTAGGATGGAATGATGGCACATACGAGCATCTGTGGATGTGGTATTACATTTCTCATTGTCCTCTGAATTTGTTGTGTAGAGAACACAGAATGGTCACGGACAAGTGAATTTGTCTTAGGGTCACATCATCGATGGCTCCCTAAAGGCGTACCATAACAGCATCAATTAGATGAGAAAGAAACCTTTCAGCTTAGGCCCAGGTTAGTTCCATATCCTAGGCATTTACATATGCACACATTCAAACATATATTTTAAGAGCAATAAACCTTTAAAGCACTTACCATTAACACATCTTTCAGGAATAGAAGGCGGAAGAGGCGGGGCACCAGAGTTATCGCTACTGCTGTACCCATTGTTAATGACCTCCCCATGCCAGGGAGCTTTTGGACCGGTTCTGTTTAGGGGGTTTTCGGGAAACCTCTGGGCCTGCTGTTGGTGGAGATAACGTGCCTGGATGAGGGATGTTGATGCGTAGGGTTCTATGTTCAATGGGTCTTCTTTACTGTTGCTAGGGATTAAGATATGGATGCCGTGTAGGCTGCAGCTAGGGCTCTCAGATTTTTCTACTACAGCATATTCAGGACCATGTACTCTGTTGATGGAAAAAATTAAATAAAAATAATTACTTTATAATAATCATAATTTTACATATGCAACAAAATGAACAAACAATATTTTGATTCCAAACTCTGGTGGATGGATTTATTGGGTGTAATCTCCAAACACAAGGGATAACCCACGAAAGTCTGAAGATGGCTTATTTCCAGCGGTGTTCATTTGGGTGATTGGGCAGTACACTGGCCGGCAGAGAATCACCTACTCTTTTCCTAAAAGTGTGCATTCTTTAACATGTACATGGGCCATAATGGACACAGAACCAATGGCTTAAGTGTCTCATCGAAAAGGCGGTTAGATATCATAACTTGCATTTCCGCCCTTCAGCTGAAATACAAGGAAAGTAAAGATCTCCACAGTTCAGCGAGCACACAGTTGCTACGACCAGTTTAGTCGACTGAGCTAAGCTGCCAAAAAAGGTATTATAAGAATGAATGTGGGAACTCCAATGTACTCTATTCTAAAAAAATATAAGCCTTTGCTTACATCGTTCCCATTTACACTTTGGAAAATACATAGTCTCTTAATTTATTTTAAAGTCTAATTTTTGCTTCTGATAACAAAAAAGGTGATAAAGTAGCTTTTTACGGTTTTTGCATTCGCCGGTGGAACGTGTCTAAAGTGGAATGAGCCGTTGATGACCATGTGTTGGATTTGCTACAGTCGTGCTGACCGGAATGATCACAGTTACTACGGAAACCATATGTGTTTATAGTGTAATCTGAAATATAAAAAAAAAAAAATATATCTAACATGAAAATGTTTATGCCTAAAAAAGTTTGTTTAACTTGAGTGAAAATTTCTGAATTTTTTGGCTTTGTACCTTGCTCCTAGGATTTATAGTTCTTAAAAATCATGCCACGGTGCCACTATAATAATATGCTGGTTTTATTTAGCGATAATGTTAAGTATTTTTAATGGTTAGTGAATGGGGGTGTATGCTATTTTGGGGGTGTGCACCCCATCCCCGTAATACCCCTCTTTAGATACACCACTGATTGGCATGCAAACTTATAAAACTACTTTCATTAGACAGAGATATAAAGAAGACAAATAAATGATGTTTACATATGTTTCACCCATATCGCTATGGCAAGTGCAAACACGACTAATTCAACACCTTTGTAATTCAACAAGGTTACAAAAGTAATCAACATCAAGTAGATGTACCCTTAGGATGATAAAAACGTAAAATATGAATGCGAAATGTAAACATTAAACAATTCTCACCTTGGTTATCAATTTGCGTTCTCTGCCACGAGTGTGAATTCCATTGACCTTCGTGAGTTTTTGTGCTTACTTGGCTAACAGCCGGCTTATAAACGCTACACTTACCATCTCCATCACATGCTGTAAATACAACTAAAAAAAAAAATGCATACACATGAAATAGTTATTCATCTTGTTCATAAACTTGTTTAATAATAAAAGACATTACTCTATATTAAATATTTATTTCATTATGTCTAGAAAATTTACTGCAAACATTTTTAAAACCCTTCACTTCAAAAAGTCATGTAAAATTTGATTGCAACACAATTAAAAGAAAAAAAACATGCAAACACGTAGAGAGTTTGAATTATTTGTGTTACTTTAGGCCAGCATTTGAGCCTAGCTAAGCTGAAATTTGATTGTAATGCTTGATTCTATTAATATTTTAACTGAAGACCTCCAGGTTTCATTTGGTCACTTTTCCAACTATACCACTATGCTTTCTAGAATTGACAATCCTATTTTTATGGTTAATAACATTTCAAAATGATTTAGTAATATTGTTGGAAAAAATTAATTGCAAAAGGATGAACATGTCGTATGTCTAGAGTAGTTTAAAAAAAACCAAAAAAAAAAACACAATTATAATGCTGTATTATTATATAGCTAATCTATATCATCATTATTTCATTAGTCAATAAATGACTTACGGTAATAGATAAATATTATATATAAATGAATGAATATAATATACTTGTCATTTTGTTATTATTAATTTTTATTACTAAATAAATGAAATAAATAAATTATATACTATTAGTATTATTTTTTTTAATGTTATATCAATTCACTGTCATAATCACAATATACTGTATTATTGCTAAAATCATAATGTAAATAAGTACTTTTATGATCCCTGTCCTTTACCTTTTGAGTCTAGACCTTGTTTCTTTTTCTTCTTTTGTTTTAAAAACCAGAATGTAATAATCATGATGACTAAGATTGTTATGACAGCTCCAAGAATACCAATGAAAAGTGGCGATGTCACAAGATTCTCATTGTTCTTATTATTTAAGATTACAGGATCCTGATCTGAAAGGAAAAGAAAATATTGATCTATAAATAAAATAAGCCTCTAAAATTTCTTTAGGTTTAAAGTGATCCATAATAACTCATTACTATTTTTATAATCCATATTCAAAAATAATTTATAAAAATTGCATAATTTGATGTATAATTTATTATTTGATTTATTATTAAACATATGACTTTGTGGCTAAAAGTATTAAGTACATGAAAAAAAGGAAATCAACAAATTAATTTGTAATAGCCAATAATAATTTGTAGTAATTCACAATAATCAATTTATACATACCCTCATTATGTTGTAAACATTTACAATCGTTAATACTGATCCATAATCATTCAAAATTGTACAATAATTCATTTTAAAAAAGCCACAGTAACGTATACAGATTGCCAATGATCCACCTTAATACCCATAATTCAACTTAATCTATAATTTATCTTCATCCTAATAATCCAACTAAATACTAAATGATCCATCTGAAATATTAGATTCTCAATCATTAATTACAACATGTTATTTATGTACTTAAATAAATCTAAAGAAAAATGCTACAAAAACATTTAAAACTACTGTATCAAAGAAAGGGTCAATTGAATTATCTTTAACGACACAAAATTAAAAAAGTTGAATAATACGGAACAAAAACATTTTTAGCAACATTGAATCTACAATACATGGCATATAGCAGACATTTAAAATGATTGGTATGACAACCAACGGCTTAAAAAACAAAGCAGACATTAAATCACAGTTACAATGAGAATTCATACATTTCTACATCAATTGAAGAGTGTATAAGAATGACAAGAATCGAGAGAAGGAATGGAAACAAAAGAAGGAGGACAAAAACAAGTAGAATTAGCAAAGTGTACAAAATGATTCTAGTTTCTTTCTTTGGACATACACACCCCCAGTAAAGTAAAAAAAACGATTAAACTTACTGAGCTGTATGGTGACTGTGCTAGGCGGGCCGATTCTAACCATGTTACTCGTTCCCGCAGAGCGATCACGCATACGAGCCGCAACAAGAATCGTGTACGTCATCATAGGCTCCAAATCGCTAAATGTTACATAAAACGTTGAGTTATTTCTTGTGGTTATGTTGCGATGATACATACTGTTGTTTCCAAGGCACATGACAAGGTAGTCGACGATGATGTCATGCGTTATTACGGGAGGTTTCCATTCAACTGAGATAGTGTCTGAGGATTTGACGTGAACGCGGACACCGATAGGTAACCCATCAAGACTCTCGGGCGTGTCTTTATTAACAGGGGCCGTGAAGGGTCCTTTGGGAAGAAATACAGAAAATAAATAACTTTTACTCAAAGTCTTTGCTATTTCAGAAACAGTTAATCAATAAGTTTATCATTCTAAATCAATATTAATATTTTCTATTTTGTCCTTTGTAATAAAAATTATGACAAAAAAAAATGCTATCCATTTATGTTTTTGATTAAGAGTTTTACTTAATATAGATAATCATACATTATATGAAAAATGTTATTATGTTTACATATCAATTTATCCTCATTAACATATTAAATCTGTATAATTATTATCATAAATATTATGAATTATTGCACATACACATTACAACATTAATAATGTAATCCAGCATGGTTACATCATAGCGCTATTGTATAGATACATACATACCTGTTTTTAGTTTACAAACAATTTGAAAGACATATTCCATTTTACAGCCAATCATAAGATTAATATTTGAGAATGTTTATTACATTTTACATATGCAAAGAAGAATGATGTTACTAAGCTGTAGGTAAGACTACTGGTGTAACCGTCATACTGTAGTTGTATAGTATAATACATTATCAATTTTTAACTACACACAATGAAAGGCGTTTTATTTTACAGCCAATCATGAGATGACTATTGCAGAATGTTTGTATTACATTTTAAACGTATGTATAGAAGGATGATGTTACTAATGTTTTAGGCAAGGTGTACAGTCAAAGCATAAAAATCGGTTGACCCTTTTTTCTTCAACGCCTCAAGAGTACAAATTTGAGTTCACTGTTTTACTATAATTATTTCATTCTCTTTATAATTTTAATAATAGTAATAATAATAATAATAATAATAATAATAATAAAAAGAAATAAGAAACAAAAAAGTTACATACCACTTTTGCTAAGCTGCACCTCCTTGACGTCACTTCCCTTACCCTGCTGCTGACCGTTGAATGGTACTATGCTTACAAAGTAGGTGGCATCTCCAGCGAGATTGTGTAATGTTGCCATTCGCGATTTCTTCACAGTCTTCGTAAAGTACCGGTTATTGATGCGGTCTTTGTAGTACTTCACGTGGTAACCATCGACATAGTCTTTACATGCGTCATTCTGCACCTGCGATTTCAACGTATAATGTTAAATCATATTTTTATTTCTTGTTTATTCAAATTCAAATTTTTTATTTTCGGATGAACAAAAAGATTACAAATATAAAAAGTGGAAACCTGCCATCCTAGGATTGTCAAAAAAATTGTTAAAAAACTATCAAGTGACTTCATACACAACAAAACATAATCAAGCACTATAAAAATTTAACAAATAAAAATATATATTATCTGAAAGTTAAAAATTTATGCAGTCTGATAATAAAGATTTATTGTCCCATGAAAATACCAAAAAATATCGTAAACTCATTTTAAAAATTAAATTGCACATTTTGAAGTAACATAAAAGTTATCAAATTGAACACAGAGATTAGTATATTTATGTTTACCCACAATTTTACAGCGAAAAATTATTTATGTTTACCCATAATGTTACAGCGCAAAAATAAAGATTAGTAACTAGTAACATCATCCTTCTATACACGTTTCTTAATTATCAAGTATACAAATCTGGTTACAAATTTTTTTTTTTCAATTTAAAAATGTTTATGCTCAAGTTAATAATTTGTATATTATTTTTTAAATTATTTTTTTTTGCTTTTTTTCATTTTCAGGGACAATATTATATTTTTAAAGATTATATAATTTAGTTAATTTTTTCTAATAATTTTTTTTAAATGAAAATGATTTGAATCAGCAAAAAATTATATTAATTTTGTTGATAATTGATACCTTCTTACATTAATTTTTTGAAGTTTTTCCAAACTTCACAACCAGTGAATTTTTGCTGTAAATTTCTGAATGATTAAATTTTTAACATTTTAGAGTATTATTTATTTAAATGTGATTATATTTGTATAGCTTATAATATTTTTACAAATTAAATGAAATTGTCTTGCACTCTACAGCTTTCTATGGCTATTCTCAATAGAAAATAATTCTGCATTGTGTTAACAACTATGCTGTCTGGGCTGACATTCTCAAAAATGCAATCAGGAAATTCAATTATTAAAAATAAAAATAATTCCCCACTGCCCCATCTTTCAAATAACATCTTATAATAAATAAAACTCACCCTCCACAACACCTTAATGCTGCTGGTACCAATCGGTTCCAGAGTTCGAAGTCGGATTTCACATTGATTCAATTTATCTTGTAAAACATCATCTCCTCCAATTTCATCTGGCAGTTCAGCTCCTAATATTAAATCATTTGTTATGACAATTATATAAGATAGCCCCAAATGTGAAAATGTACAATTTTAAAATGTGCAATGCAAAAACTGTACACCAAAATATAGGAGTGTAAAGGACATGACCACAAGAGGGAGCTCTTCTTAAAAATCATATGTACACACAAACCCTGTGGAAGGTCAGCCAACATCTTGACATGCTCATTAAAATTAAATACCAAAAGTAATTTAAGGCTTAGTACTACAGTGCTGCTGGATTATAATTCTAAAAAAAAACAAAAAAAACAAAACACTAAAAATCTACATGGGTGTGAGCTTATATTTTTAGGATTGATAATGGGGGTTGGGGGGGGGAATGCGAAGAATGATGATATAGGGCTGTATCCAGGATTGCCATTGACCAACTATCCCCAGGGGTGGAGCTTGGATTGTATCATTAACTGTGAAAAACTCAATGCACAATATTAGCTCACGATTACAATAAAATGTAAAAGACTTCTAATCACCCATTGCACATCCCATACAGGCCAACTACAATATTAGGTAATATGATCAATATACCCGTAGTTTTTACCAGTAAATCTCTAATTTGAGAATTAAATTCAGAGCATATTATGTGCAACCTTTGACCCATGTTTGGCTCCACTGTGAAACAGTGCCCTCTATCATTAAATACCTACCATGCTCTAGTGTTGTGATAGTGAAAGGTGCCGATTCGGAACCAATGTTTTGGTGGTAGTACGGCTTGATCATAAAACTATAGTGAGTGCCGGGAGTGAGTTCGGTTATAAGGAGCATGCTCACGTCTCTGACTGCTTCAACGACGGGCTGCTCTAAAACAGCAACCTTACGATAGATGACATAGAATCCCTCGATGTACTCCTGATGTCGGGCAACCTGTGAAAAAGACACGGGGAAGGTCGCTTAAGATTCACTTCAACGAGCAATTTAATACCCAAAAGCAGTTAAAACATCAATGGATAACCAGGGATTAAGAAAGAGCCATTCTTGATCCGTTGAAATTCGGCTAATTGCACTTGAAACCTCAACTTTATGGCATAATCATTGTTCTAAGTTAAAAGTATTGTGTGTAGGTCAAATGTGTTTAATCAGTTTACCACCTGTCATCTTAAAAAATTTATCTTTCCATATGGAATAATTTTTTTCACCTGACAGTAAAACAAAGCACTATAAAAAATGTAAGTATAAAATAATTTTCCATACAAAAACAATTGTTAACCAATTATTTCATTGAATTATATACAGATTTTTTATACCATAATTTTCATTTTTTTAAGTAAATTCTTGACAAATTTCCCAATCAACAATTAAGAATTACTTGTCTTATTAAACAAACATTTTTTTATGAAATATTGTATGTCATTTTTACATTAAAATATCAAAAACATTAATTTCATTTGAATGTCAATATTCAATATAGTAGATGTATTTAATTTTTTTTAAATGCCCAATATTTTATCTTTTGAAAACTACAAAAATATAAAATAATTCAACATATATAATTTATACAGCAAGTACCTTAAAGATATTTTACTATAATTGATACTGCTAATACAATGAGTGTTCTAATAGAAGTTTGTAATTAAATGCTGTCTGTTATTACATGCAGTATTGTGTCTGTGTATTAACCTGATTGAAATGGTGATTAAATTTCAATTTGTGATAGCTGGGATTAAATTAAATCAGTGTTGGCAAATATTTACAATAATAACACTATTGATTCCAGCATGTGATAGATTGTGTGTGTGTGTATGTCATCTTTCCAGTGTAGAATGGTAATATTAAAGTTGTTGTATCTCTGGTGTTTCCAGCATTCACTTTTGGTGTTTCTGATAAAATTATGTTTAAAGAACATTATTCTCCAATCCAAGGCCTAAGCCCCACAAAAAATAGAAATTTAGGGGTGGACATAATTATTAAGGGTATAGAATTTTGCATACTACTAAAAAGTGCAATAATAATAAAGCAAGTTTCAATGTGAGGCTCATTGAGAGATAGATGTTTGAAAGTTAAAAGAAAATATCATAAGTCCGTATTCTCAAAAGAAAACTACGCTAGTCCATAAGGCCACCGCACATGTTAAAATAATTAGCTTTCATAGTATTCGTTGATTATTCCACATTTTAAAGTGAAACCCAGGTTAGGCCAAAGAAAACTAATTGCTAGTTCCACGTTCCTCATTTAAATATTTACTATTTGCTAAATGGCACAACACTTTACCAAAATTTACTTATTTTTAAAATATAAATAATTTTTATTACTTACCACCCTATTTACAGTACCATTAGTATATAGGATAGTAAAAAGCAAATAATAAATACCCTCACCAAAAAATAATTTCAAATCCTGGACGTGAAATTAACAATTAATCTTATTTGGCCTTAATCGTGAGCTAATTACATACGCTATTAAAAACTAGTGTATAAATCGTAAAATAGCATGATCTTTAATTATATCCATATTTCAGCCACGAATTGTAGAAATAACAAGCTATACATCTCTACCCCTAGATACAAATCTACCTGTACTTCTCCTCAGCACAGGTTAATACATTAAAAAAATTCCAGTCCGTGCAAATGGATTAAGACAGACACGAGTGCCTTGTCCTTGAGAAAATACTGAGTGACCAGTGAGGGATTATATTTGCTAAGCCTCTATTATTTAGTAAGACACGAAAAGCTATTACTGTATTTACCTTCCAAACCACCTTCACTGCATTTGAGCTGAGTACTTGAACATCAACGATGCTCACACCTGCTACGTTCAGTCTCTGCTGGGGGCTGACCGGTGACGTGATTATCGGCGGGGGAGTTACGTCCGAATCTGTGAATTCAAAATCCAAACTACTTCAAGCCTTATTCAAAAATTTAATAACTGACTACAGGTACTGACAGAGTTAGATCCTATCGGATTTGAAAGAAATCCGGTTGGATTTATGTGCTACATGGTTTTAATTGTATTTACATACATGAGAAATTCAACTCACCTAGTGTAGAAATAGGAGCCGATACTTCACTGGGTTTACCGAATCCTTGAGAATTTGCTGCCCTCACGAGGAACCGATATGCTGTCAGATGCTTAAGGTTCATGATGTGTGCTGATGTCTTCGTGATATGATCCAATAAAATCATCCAACCAGCTGCATAAAAAAAATATATTTTCATCATCATTATGACCATAGATCAACTTATTTCAAGAAGAATATTCGATCTTCAGCCAAAGCTGTTCTTTAATGCCATGAAACATATCATTTTACAGTGGCATGTACTCTCAACAGCCAATCATAAAATAGGAAATACAGGATGTTTACATTACTGCATTTTAAACAATGAATTCTGGGCTCATAAAAACTATGATATAGATACTGTTACTAATTTCTTACTGACAAAAAATATTTATTAGAAAAGATTTCATTTCTCTTCAGAAAGCTGATGACATAATAAGTCGAAATATTGAAGCTGGAATCATTCCTGATGATGACATAATTAATGTTAAAATACTGAATCCCGACACCTTGGCGTGCATTTCGATACTTGGAGTATGTATTATACTATCTTTAATACACTGCTAATATTAAATTAATTTAATTAAAAAGGACCATGCTTTCATAGCCACAAGTTTTAATATATGGCATCTGTGTAGCAGTATTTGAAGTTTTATTTTATTACTTTTTGTTTTGTTTTATTTGTCAACAAGTTTTAGCAGGATTCATACGGGCTTGCGGATTACTGAAACTTCAATTCTATATTTAGAGTGGGATAATTCTATTGTACCTTGCGAGCTGTCTTCAATAAAGTACTCCAGGCGGTAATAGGTGATTCCACTTCCTCCGTTATTTTCAGGTGGTTGCCATGACAGCAACGCTGAGCTTCCTGTGATATTGCCAACTGTGAATAGCCGCGGCGATGAAGGCAAATCTTTCTCTGGCGGCATTTTTCTTATTTCAATTTTTCCAATTTCATCTGCACCTGTAGAAGTACAGTATAGCAACATCTTTTTAAAAATCAAAAACAGATAAATTCTTTTATACATAATGTGATGTAGTGATACATAAATTTCACCTTGTACGGAATCAATACATCATCTCTATAGAGTGCTGTAAATATTACTTGTAAAGGAAGGAAAGGTGGGTGGAACATTTTCATAATAATGACTAAATAAACGACTGAATGAAATGAGTGATTGTAAGAATAAAATAATGGTTTAGTGAGCGAGTGAATACATAAATAAATGAAAGACTGGGTGAGTGAATAAGTGATTGAATAGTGTGGATGAGAGTGAATAAGGGAATGGATAAGAATAAGAGTGGTGAGTGAATAAGTGATTGAATTAAGTGATTTAATAAATAGCATGAGGGGGCGAGTGGCCAAATGAATGAATGAATGAATGAATGAATGAATGAATGAATGAACGAACGAACCACCGATACAGCTACACTTTGTATGTCATTTTCTTTTAGGTAAGGTAATGTTTAAACCTTAAAGCTCTAAGCTTACCGACCAACGTGCCTGTCTCTATCTCTTACGTCATTGGGACCAGATACAAGGCTGCTTGCGGAGGGGAGTTGGGGTGTTTCACTATGTTGTATATGTTTTTCTATATTTGATATGTTGGTATATAGCTATACTATGCAGCTTCGTTCTCTATATTATTATGTCCAATTACCTTTTATGTGTTTTTTTCTACATGGTCAGTTGAAAACACATTTTTATTTGTTGAATGCTTAAAAAAAAACCTGTGATAGTTTCATTATTCATAATCCCTGGAGGGCCATTTATATTGTGTTGTTTATTTTATCCTAATGTGCTACAATAATAATAAAATACGTGTTACAGCTGATTCGCATTAATATTGTCTATTCATAATAATACAAATAAAATGTGTTTTAAACTGACCATAAAGCCTTAGCAGAACACATAAAAAGGTAATTGGACAAACAAGACAGAGAAGAAAATTGCATACAAGATAATTTATAAAGTAGTAAGCATAATAAAAGTATAATAAATGTGTATTATGTATACATCTAACATTACGTGTGATTTTTTTTAAGTTGTTTTTAACAAGTGTTTTTTTTTTAAATACTTTTATTGAATCTGGACCTCCATGGGAAAGCCGTACAACTATATTGAAATATTATTTTAGATTTGATGAGTATTCAGTTAATTTAGACTAAATTAAATAATGAGTTAAAGTTAAGTTAAAAAAATTACTGTATCTATAGAATATGTTCAAAACTTAAAGTTAACAAATATTATTATTATAATACATTAATAATAAAATATAAAAAAAAATTAAAAGTTAAAAAATGCAGATATTTACTAATAAAGCCTATTGTGTGCTACACCACAATGGGTAGGACAATTCCATTTATTTCTGAGGTAAGTTTAAGTAAAGTAAAAGTTAGATATTCAATCAGCTATACTAGCATATAAATATAACATGACAATTTACCTATAACAAGTAGTGTAGCATTCCATTTGGTTTGGTAGTCGTTTCTACTTGCGACACAAGTATACAACGCCGAATCGGAGGAGTGTAAAGCCGATATTTGTAGGGTACCAGAGTCAAGTTTTGTCATCCTGAAAATTAAAAAAAATACTACTTACAAAAGAAAAATCAACATTATCATTAACAAACAAATGTAAAATATAAATATATAAAAAATATATTTGCAAATAATAAATATTTATAATAAGAGGAACAGTTACGGTAGTGAAGTTGTTTTCAATCATGCAACGTAGAAGAAAAAAAAAAGTTGGTGTTGGATATAATATGTTTATTCATTCAGTCAGAAAAAAATCTTTACTTTTTTATTATTTTTTTTTTATTTAAAGAAAAATGAAGTTAAATCAAATGCTGGTGTTTCCCAACAATTTAAACTTTGGACTCTAGAACTGAATAGGGAAGCATTTCAAACAAAAATCAACAGTTAAATATTTTCTTAAGCCCAGTCAGGGATGTAGATATGGTGGGCAGAGCCACCCAGACTTGGAAGTTTCCACCCAGTCTATAAAGCTAAGTTTCATGGCCCTCCACCCACCCTTATTAACCCACTTTTCCATCCTTAAAATCCACTCTTATTATTTAGAGTTTATTAATATTATCACCTACCCACCCTTAAAATATCCATCACACATCCCTAGTTTTCTACAGCTACAACCCTACCCTGCATTCTTGAAAAAAAAAACACATTTTAACAATTGATTACGCTTCATTCCTGATGATGACATAATTAATGTCGAAGTATTGAATTTGGACAGGATGGCGTGAAATTTCGATACTTGGCGTATGTATTATACTATCTTGATTACGCTCCCCTTTTCGGCAATAATGCTCAACATTGTGCGTCATTTTTGTTCTCATACTTCAGCTGTAAACTGCTACAGTACATGCATCATCATAGAATATACTTGATTCGAATAAGACATTTAATTTTTAGTTTTTATATCCACAATTTCAACTCCTCATTCTCAATGTAGTTTAGAGTCACATTTGATTTTAAAATGTATTGTTAAATTGTTCAATGCAATTAAACAAAACGGTATATATCCATAAACCAGACATTTAATTTTATGTTGTTATATCCACAATTTCCATTCCTCGTTCTTAGTGTAGTCAATAGTCGCATCGGGGTTGAAGCATATCAAGTGTTTGCATTTCAATATTATACTTAATATTGCCCCAGTAAGTACGGCAGAATTGAAGAGATTTAAACTAAGTAATGTAACGTGCAGGCAATGTATTAAATGCAATGAGATATACATCCAATCTGCAACAACTTAATCGGATAAACCGGCACAATAGTTTGGAAAACAGCAGAGAATCCATGAGATTTAATGTTATGAAAATTAAAATTGAGATTGCCAGGTCATATCTTAAAGTAGCAACACAAAGCTCTTCGTCGTTAAGCTATCGGTAGTTAAATGCTTCACCAAACTGAAACATATGATAATAATGTAAAAATCTAAAATTAGATGACTGAGAGAAATTGCTCAAGTATCATTGGAATTTTAAGTATTCGATCATTCACTGATATTTTTTTTTGTATCAAGTCTCATAAAATCCGGAAAAGTTTGAAGGAAAAAAAATCAATAAAATTATTCAATTGCTCAATAAATACAAAAATTAAATGTTATCAAACTCTAAAAAATGACACTTGCCAAAACATATATTTTTACTGGCAGTTTAACAACCAAAAATTTCTAAAAATTGATTGCCAAACAATATTAGATTCTATAGGCATCATGACTATATATAGGCACATCATGACCATATATAGGCACATCATGACTATATATGGGCACATCATGACCATATATAGGCACATCATGACCATATATAGGCACATCATGACCATATATAGGCACATCATGACCATATATAGGCACATCATGACCATATATAGGCACATCATGACTATATATGGGCATACAAGTTAGTCAGGACAAAGCTTAAATCTAAAGGATGAATATTAAGTATACATTATCCATTATGAACATTAAGTGCATTTATAGAAGAAAAAAAAATACTATTTTTAGAACTATTTTCTTTTTTTAATTGAAAATTAATAATGGTTAAATCATGGTTCAAAATAACCAGGACGGCTGCTGCATGAAGGATTACTGCGGCATGACAAGAGAGAATTTTGTCAAATGCAATTTAGTAATAATGTTGCAATTTGATGGATAACATAGCGGAAACGCAGATGCCCTTATCAAAAACAAAATGTTTAATTTCACATCCTGCTGAACTGAATAATGTATGGTACCTCATCCATGAATTGTTGTTAGATCAATATTTTTTTACCTATCATTCCGCCTGATTGAGACGCCATTCTTCAGCCACAGTATGCTAGTCTGGTCTGCCGATACCACTTCGCAGGGTAGCATTGCATTTTCGCCGATGGTTAATGTCTGGTTGACGACGCCGAGGTCAATTACTGGAGGATACTGATGCAATACAGCTGATAAAAAGAAAGTTGAAACTGATGATTAAAAAAAAAAAATGAAAAAAAAACTTTAAAAAATACATTTCATTTCAATGACAAACTCGTCCAGGAAGCATACACTCAATAGTATAATAACCACTAAGGACGTTTTAAGAAGAAGGATAACGATAATCATTTAAAATTATATATCAGGTTCAATCATTTTGGGGACAAGGAGGCGCCAGGAATGTATTTCTTCTTGGTAATTATTTTCTATATATCTTTCCATTAAAAAAATAATAATCAATACAACACAGAACCTACAATGATGATTAATTAAACATTTAAAAAATGACAGTGGTGAAGATAGAAGTGCTCACTCCCCTTCCCCGGCAGTTGCCAAAAGTATCATTAACCAAATTCGAAGCCATTTTACATATTAATGACTAAAATTCTGAACCCCACTGTATTAAACAGGAACACCCCAGAACCTTCATTTTGGACCATTTATATATCATTTATTTATCTATTTACATTTAACTTATTTAATTTATATTTGTTTTACATTTTCTATTTCATGGGTAGGCCAACAACAAACTATATTAATCCTTTAAATAAAACATACAAACAAGATGCTGCACATAAACTAATCTTCATTATGAACCCAGGACCCCTTTCATTGGAGGGCAAGCATCTTAGCCTCCAAGCTACACCCCTCGGATCATTGGTCCTCGATTTCAACTTGTTTTACTCCCGGAACCTGAGCAGGGCCCCTAAACAGTTCCTGACAGTAGTTTGGACTGCATTGTAGGACATTGTAGGACTTCAGCAATATCTGAAGCAACGACGGAATAAACACTATTCAATATTTTCCGAATCAACAACTACATAGCATATGTAGAAATAGATAATATAGATGTTATGCTTCCCTTAAAGCATGTCAGTATTGATGAGAAGCTCCATAGCAACGACCCTGTATTTTATTAGGATTTCTTATAACAATCAGCAAATTTGTCGGCTGCCATTAACAACAATTCACAGCGTCTGTTTACAGAAATCTTACAGCCTGTCACATTAATTTCACATGCGATAATGACGCATCATTATCGGTAATTAAGTAATATTCATCTAGCTTTTAGAATGCCAAGGACAAACATAAACAATGATACGCTCTGCAAATCTATTGTACAGGAATTACTAACCAACAACGGTAAGATAAGCACTGGTCGTTGAGACTGTGGACAGATTGACGTTAACAGCGGAGCAAGTGTAACGGCCCTCATCCAATTTCTGCACACGGGCGATAGTCAATGTGCCGTCTACTGATACAGAATATCGGTTATAGTTCTGACCAGGAAACATTAGCTCCTGATGGAGGAAAAAAAAAGCAGTGGATTTAAAATTAAAGAAAAAAAAAATTGGAAATTCAAGGCTGCGTTTTAATGAAGCATGACAACCATTGGACTTGTAGGATGATATTCATTAGAAATAATATCTACTGTATAAAAAACAGCATTGTTTCTATTTCTATTTAAGAAGAAGACTTCTATGTGGAATAGAGCTGCCAGTTACTGTTAATGTTAAAAAATACAAACGTTTTCAGGCAGCACCCTTCATCGGGTGCTGTTTATAAAACACCACCAACACAAATCCGACTTACACTAGATCCAACTTTTTGCCAAAATATGGTTGGTTTCGGATTGCCATTAGCAACACACTGGAAACTGGTCTCCCCATTCTCTTGTACAGTCACATCCACTGGTTCGGTCCAGAAGACTATATTTGCTGAAATTTGACATTTTAAAATATGATCAATTCATCCTCACCGTTGAACTACAACTTAATTACTTGTATAACATAATCACCATCAAACTTGATTAATTAGTATTTTCTATTAGCAGAGACTGTCAAGGGAGCTCACCTCAATTAAAGTAGAAATTAAACAGCACAGTTAAATGCAAGCACAAACAATGTCAAGTCTGTCAGACTCAATAAAAGATGTCTAATCAGACATGGGACAATTTGGCAGAAAAGGTCACATGTTTTAACATGTTTTTTGCTTAAATGCTCTCAAAACTGAGGTCAGGGGTTCGAGCCCATGCTTTGAATTTCGCTTGGCAAGACACCTACCTACTGTTACTCCTCAACACCCAGGAGTACCAATGGTACATTGGTATATACCCATGGAGGTATAAGAATGTTATACCTCCATGGTATACCAATGTGCTGATTGCTTTAAACCGCAGCATTATGGAGTTGACTTTTCCCGAGTGTCAATCTAACAACTGACCACTCACAACAGAGTCAGTAATAATATGCGCAGGTCATACAAACAAATGTTTTCCCACAAACGCACTTTAATTTACGTACACATTTACACATTTCTTTTGTGGGACCTTAGCAAACAATATCCAAAGGGGGCTAGGCTTAGCAGAAATATCAGGTTTCCCCAGTGAGCTGAACGTTCAATATGCATTTGTTCCAATCACTGGGGGGTAATAAGGTGAAGCCTGGCTTATGACCATGGGCCTCATGGCTTGAAGAGGATAGGTGAGGTCACATAGAGGCCTTGTTGTTATGAAGCCTTAACATATAACTAGTAATATTTTGTTTCTTTTAGATATATCTGATGTCTGTGGAACTGTTGTGGTTCTAGGATATATTTTCTGGGGGGGGGAGCTTGTAGGCCTGAGCTGGGGAAAGGGTTTGAGAGGGGGAGTTCCTGCTCCAAAATGAGATTTTTTAAAGAATAGGAACCTCTGGATGACCAGAAATGACACTCTCAGACTGTGACAGACATGTGTTGGGCCTATTTTTATATATTTTTTACTCTGACTGCCCGACGAGCTCTGTCCAATGGGGGGGGGGGGTTTGACCTATATGGTGGGGTTGACCTGTATGGTGTGGAACATTGGAACAAAAGTTAAAAAAAAAAAACATTGACATCTATACACATACATGTAGGGTACAACAGCTCTTTCTTGAAAATACAAAAAAACAATCTGCTTTATCAGTCTTTTAAATAAATCGTCTGTTGAGTAGGCTTAATTTTTAAATAGCTTCATCACTGTCTAGATTCCAAACCAGAAAAAAAAAAATCCCCGTCAATTAACTGACAGTTTAATAACAAGTTTCCTGTATTCTTTTGCATATACAAGAAATATTCCACTTCATCAAAGTCTTTTTAAAAATTGTCTGTAAAATAGGCTACTCTTAACTAGCTTTATCACTGACTATATTCCAAACCAGAAGAAAAAAAAATCCTTGTCAATTAACAGACAGTAATAAATAACAAGTTTCCTGTGTTCTTTTGCATACAAGAAATATTCAACTTCATCAAAATCTTTTTAAAAATTATCTGTAGAATAGGCTTCTTTTAACTAGCTTTATCACTGACTATATTTCCAAACCAGAACAAGAAAATCCTGTCAATTAACAGACAGTTAAATAACAAGTTTCCTGTATTCTTTTGCATAGAATTTGACTAGTAATCAAATCAAGGACTTTTGTATTAAAATATTTGTAAATCGACAAAAAAAAAAAAAATATTTCTACTTGGATGTTAAAAACTTTGTAGATGAGCTACTCAAATTTTTAATTTAATTTCTGAGCTTTTCCTGACTTTGGCAAGCAGTGCATCTTAATAACAATTTTTTTTCATCAAATAATTTCACTTGCTTTAATATTAAAATTCATTAAAGTTATCTCTTGATAATCCAATAATTTAGTAGACAATAATTGCTACGTTTCAGCTACAGTTTCAGTAGCCTTGAATTTTTTGATCCAAAACTTGTTTGATCCCTTGTATGTAAATGAGTTGCTTAAAATTATAATTCAATTGTTAAAGTTTTCTGATTTTTTTGGTAGACAATACATCTTTTAACAATATTTTAAAAACATTTAAGAACAGAAATCTGTGAATAATTAAAATAATTGAGATTATTGTATACTTACTGACTATTTTTACTGTAGCTTGCTTTGTTCTCCTAGCTACTGAACTGTCAGCCGTACATATGTATGTACCAGAATCCGCCTGCGTGACATCCCTAAGAAGAATTGAGTTGTCATCCAATACCGTTACCCTATCAAAAACAAATAATAATATCCACTGAAGATATTTAAGTATTTTAAATTACTATCGATTCCATCTTTTGCTAATTTGCCTCAGGAAATTGAGGGAGGGAATCAGAGCTTGGGTAAATCGTTATCCAATTTTCAGTTAATTTTAACGGCCTTCCAAATAATTTGATTATTCATCAATGTTTGTTAACAGATATATCAGATGTACATTTAATATTACTAATGTACATCTCTATTAATTCGGAAATGGTAAATGTGAATCAATAAAAGGAAGTGTGGCAGATTTCTTTATCTTTTAAGTGGACTTTTTAAGGCGTAGACTATGATTAATTTCCAGAATGTGAAATCTAAAAATTAAAAACATTTAATTTTCTTGATTACAAGGAAGAAGAACTTGTTAGTTCATCAAAAGTTCAGATGAACAGACCTTATGAAAATTCTGAAATATCAAGCCAATCTGAGTATCAAAATACAATAGAATAGACGGACAATGTTACTTATATGCGTGGCCTCTCAATCGGCTGAGAATTTTCTTGTTGATTTTCATTTGGAATTTTAACCCGAAATAAATTTGAATTGATACTTTTACTGTCTCGTTGCCGATCTAATTAACATGAATTTTTAACTTTTGGTGAAATTTCTTGCCAATTTGAATTTGATTGTTAATTTATATTGTGATGCAATATGATTGGCTTTCAATAAGCTGTTGAGTTTTGGCATCCCAGAATTTTAGCTTCCCATAATTTTAACTTTCTCTTTTATATTGTAAACTTGTATTCTTGTCTAATTTATTGTAATACACATTTGAACATATTTAAATGGAATTTGCGCAATATAAATAAATAAAAAAATGTTATTATAATTATTACTGTACTTAAATATATGTGACTGGCTCTGGCAAACTCCGCTGTTTGTCGCAATTTCAAATTTCTCACAAGCACCCAAAATGTTTGGAATCAGAATTTTGAACATTTTAAGGTTTTTGCATTTTATAAAAGAAGGTATTGTGTATTGAAAAATATCTGCAAAAATATCAATCACTAAATCTAATTGAAAAGCATATTCAAATTATTAAAAAAAAAAACAAATCTCAATAATGAACTATAGATTTTGCAATCTTTGGCGGCTTTTTTTCAAAACCGACAGTATGTATTAAATATTTATAGCTTAGCAGAACCGGTCGCACATACAAAGTCAAATATTCAATTTTATTATTAAAGCTTTTAAACTCAATATAGACAATATATTTTCTAAGTGAAATTTAATTACTATTAATATTTCTGAGAAAGAAAAAAACAGTTAAACTATTAACAGCAACAATGATACAAAGAGAAACAACAAAGTAATAAGGAAATTGTTTTCTTACACAAGACCCGATGTTACAAAGAGGTATTGTGAGTTGCTTTCATTTTGAAAAAGTACTATGCCCTATAATCATTATTCATATGCTCACATTTTTATTTGGAAATTTGCTTGAGAAAAGGGAAAATTATTATGTTTTTTTTCTTATGGCAAGAAAGTTGCATGTACCTGTACTATTTATTTAAACAGATGGTATATTTGGTACACATTTCAAGTTATCTTATTGGTAGTTGCCATTGTGTATAACATGATGTATACATTTTTAATGGATTAAATTATTATATTGTGATCTGTGGACCTGAATACTGCTGTATTTAATATTCATGATTTATCAACTTATTTTGAATGGATGAGATCATTACATTGTGAACAGAGTAGCTATATTTGTATTCAAAGACATCTTAAATGTAATAAATTCATCAATCATTTTGTTTGATCTAATAACTGAATGACAATCAATATCATATTCATAAATTTACTAGTAACTTATATATGCTATAGAAATGGGGGAAAATAGTTTAGATAAAATACAATTTTTAAGCTTGTCTGAATTTACTTTTGTTTAAGGTTATTATAATTATATTGATTAAAAAGTTTGTTGCCGTTCGAGTACAAGTTGTTAATCGCTTTAATAAAATTTATGAAAAAATACAACATGATTTATCAACTTTTTTTTAATGGATCAAATAATTACATCATGATGTAAATAATTTTAGCCCTTGGCTTAATTCTTGAATGTTTTTACAATGTCTTGTAGATTGTGAGTTTATACTTCGATAATCCTAAATTTTTAAATTAAACATTGAAAACTCTAAACATACAATGTCAGCCATTATAAACTCTTGATTACTTTTTCAGTGCTGACTTTTACCACACACACTACCGTATTACATTTGACTGTCAACGGAATACCCATTATCACACATAACCATGTGAATTTTACATTCATGTTATTCATGAAATTGTTGAAAGCTATATCATTTTGCAACTACAGATAGCTTATCTTCTTGAAATTCCCATCATCTTCCAGCATACGTGACAAAAATCGGCAGACATAATCCGTATCATTTAACAGATCTCGCATACCTGTTCCTATAATGATGACAACTTCCTAAATTTTTAAATTCCATACAACATTCCCATCATCCTAACACTTAATTCTCAATATTTTTTGGCACATACTCTCAATCCCATCTACCTAATCCATATCATTCAATACTTCAAAATTCACCTGTCTGATGAAATCGGCGCTTCCAATCTACTCCAACTGATGTCCGGCATAGGCTGACCATCTGCCTGGCATTCCAACTTGACCGTTTCACCGACAGCGGCGACAGTGTCTTCAGGTATGGTCAGGAACTCCGGGCCCTCTAAGAAATATATAGATCAATACGCTGATGTTGACAATACCCATTTATGTCTATCAATTATCAGGCAACGTTACTTAAAATCTCAAAGAATTGAAGACGCATTAAAGATTTCTTTTCAGAATAGAAGATCGATTAACCAAGCTGAAGATAATCTTGGTATATTGACAATGTTATTCACACCTGCTATTTGCAACAACCTTTTCTTAAAAGAATAAATATAGTTACTGTATACGATTCATCAAATTCATTCCAGTAAAAAACAAATAAACTTAGTAGACATCAAACAGCAACATTTTTTTTGGAAACCAAAGGTCATTTATATTGGAAATTTCTTACAATATTTTCTTTACGGAATCAATATATATATAGGTTTACAGCTTGTTTTAATTTCAAAATTGTTGGGCATCATTATTAAAATGTACATTCTTGTACACTCTGTTTTTTATGTTACCTAATACTCTACTGTTTTACCTCTCAATTTTCTTTTCTACAAAGACCTTGTAGCATTCGTCCTACAAATGTATGTCTTCATTAATATTCTTTATTGTTTTCTTCGTATTATCTTTTTATTTAGACTTTATTGCAAAATTGATGAGAGGTGGCTCAATAAAATGTCATGAACTGCGAAATGAATTATTGAATCTAAACTAGGGCCCATTGCCTACTTGCAGGCTGAAACATAGTGTGAACCCCAGCCTATAAAAATTGGAGAATGAGATGTGTAGACCTATGTCTGGCCATATTTAATATAGAGCAACATACCCCCAAGACAAATTTAATAACTTGGCAGCACAATATCAAAACACGACATACTGTACAAATATTGTCAAATATTAAAAACACAAAATTTATCGTATTTTTTTAAAACTATTTTTCCACTGAAATAAAAAAAAAATACTTAACATATTTTTCATAGATTTTTATGCATTTACATTTAACACAAAATTTGGACATAAGAAACTGAATTTCATAATCAGTGATTTTCTTTTTGTATAATCTTCCACTGTACTTATTGTTCATCTTCTATTTTGGTCTTATTTTTCTTCATGAATATTTTTATGACTTTATATACTCATAATATTCTACAAGTTTTGACAATTTTTTAATTGCTTATGTATTTCCTCCAACTTCGAAGAATTGCCACTTAGAGGTAAAACAAAACTGTGAAATACAGTAATATTATTTTATTTCTGTTGAGTGTGATTTTACAATGAAATAAGGAAAAATAAATATAACTGTAAGCAACACCTGACACTTGAACTTACTGGGTAAGTACATTAAAGTATAAACTCAAAGTGCAATCTTGTCCCTTTTATCTCATAACTGTTGGCAAGCAGATCGCTTTGCCAATTGAAGGCTGAAATCTAATCCTATTTACAAACTGGGCACCGATTCCTAATCTCATTTTGCGAGTGTGTGTCGACAGCAAGTTGACTCGACGCAAATCCACTAATGGAGAGAACATTAAATTACATTGATGCGTTCTTTAACCGCGGGTTTAATGTCTGAAGGTTTATTAACAACATCTGATACTCCTTAATGACGAGTCTTACCGGTAACTTTAAGCAATACAGGTCTGCTTCTTCGAGTATCGGCCATGTTCGTTGCAATGCAGACGTACTGCCCCTCATCTATTGCTCTTACCTGTAATCAAAATGTAAATAGCATATTAAAAATTTATTTACTCTTCTTGCCGTCTATTCTGTTTTCTTTCAAAAAACAGGTGCATTAAAACATTGTCTATAAAATGTTATTTTTAGTTGCAATGTTCACAATGTTTTTGCAGTAATTGATTGAAAACGTTATAATCAATCATGAACTCCTGCTTATATGTTTTCTGTGTTGCCCATTATAATTAAACCAATGTAGTGTTCTTGCACATATTCTGAGCTACATGATAACATACATCTTTACGAAATACAGAAGTTCCTTTTGTATAAGCCCCATCCATATCCCAGCCCATCCACTTCACTAAATACTTTCATATCTAATTCATAACTGTATCTTATATTTAATTTATAAAGCATACAACATTTTAATGGAAAAAACATACAAAGAAATATGTCTGCTAAATGTAGGTTCATTGTATAATGAAACTTAATCTATGCTCATAATAGTAATATTACATGTTAATTGAAAGGAATGCCGCTTGGCATTCGAAAAAAAGGAAAGTCATCAGAGGTTATATAAAATTAATCAATTCTTCAATCGTTCTGTTACACATGAAGGCATTTTAACGTTCTGATGAGTTCTCAATGAACAGAAAACTCTAAATACTAAGTAGATCCTCAGAGGATATGCCACACTTGGTCGAATCCGCCGCTTACAAATTATTTTCCGAATTACAGATCCATAAGTGGTACTTAGCACGGTCGCATTTGACTAAGTTTCCTAATTGTAGTGAACATGAAATGACCTTGAGCATCTAATGGTCCTTCATGTATTTTCTTTTCATTTTTTCAGTCAATTATATCAGAAAAAGATTCTTTTCCCCTTCTCCAAAAATTCATGACAGATGAAGGACAATGAATAACCAGAACAAGACTTTATCTCACCACATAAAGACTGTCTCATGATATGGAAACCACTGACTCACCAGATTAAGATCTACAACATCAGATAAAGACTGTTTCACTAGATGAAGACCACTGACTCACCAGACCTACCTATACCTCTCACTCACCGGATCAAGACCTCATACTCACTGGATGAAGGATCACTCACTCACCACATCAAGACCTATAATACATCAGATAAAGACTGTCTCACCAGATGAAGACAACTGACTCAAAAGATCTATGACCTCACACTTATTACATCAAAAATTACTCCATCACCAGATAAAAAAAACCTAACATATCAGACAAATTCCGTCTCACCACCTAGACATTTCACTCACCAGATCAAAGAACATCAAGACATTTGGACTTACTTGAGTAAACTTGAGATTACTATCCTGGAGTTTGATCCTCCCTCCCATGACGACTGGCTGGCCATTCTTTTCCCACGTCACATTTGGATTTGGATTAGCTCTTGGTGGTGAGCAGTCAATCTGCAACTCATCACCAGAAGATGCAATAAGATCCTCAGACACCTTCCTAAAATCTTCTCGCATATCTGAGAAAAACCAAAAGAAAGATCTTTTTCATTTCATAATTAAGTGCTTTCTAAAAAAAAAAAAATCTTCTCAATCAAATACATGTCAAAACAAAGTATTAATTTCTGTACAACAATATATTTCCATTAAGATATAATTTCCATGGATGTAATATGAAGAACAAAGACCAGAAAATACTTTTAAGTAATATAGGGCTTCTGGTGAACTTTGGAACCCGCTGGAATTACTGTATATGAAACTGTCCATAATGTTGTCGATTTTTTGATACTTCAATCACATTAATTCTCTTTCGATGGTAATCCATGTTTGTTGCAAAATACTGTCCCATGATACATAGTTAAAAAGGAACTGATCACTATAATCGTCCTGAACATCCTAATAAAAAATCTAATCGTTTGGAGCGATTAGATTTAAAATCATACATGAAATCATTTTTATAGACTTGTTACATCCCAATATTTTCTGTGAGTGGTACAAAGGGGGTGGAGGACACACTGAAACATTCACTAAACCAAAACCAAGCTGTTAAAAATGACTGGCTTAGACTAAGGTACGTTGAAGAAGAAAGATACGAAACTTCTACAAAAAAAATTGAATTATCGTATTAACATAAATCAGGCTATCAACAATAAAAATCAATCCGATTGTGAGATTGAGAATTTTGTAACAAAAAAAAGCAATTTGCTATTGTCTTTAATATACTCTCTGGCATCATGAATTAAAACAAAAAGGCAGTTGGTAATTATCCAAATTTCAATGCTGGTGTAATATGTAAATACTATGTTTTACAATAAGTTTTATATCATTATAGATGTTATACCTTAAATGCTTGAATAAGTGCCGCAGCGCTTATAGAATTTTTGGAAGCTTCAGTGCAGTGGTGTCTTTTTTATTTGGGGGCACGCCCGCGTCCCCCCCCCCCATTTTAAGACCTATAGATACGCCACTGCTTCAGTGCGGCACTTATTCGAGAGCGGCGCTAATACAAAAAATATTGGGATGGCACTTTCCATGTTACCTATTGTTCGTATTCCCGTAGTTTGATAGGCCTATCATACGTCCTTCGTCATCGTAAATAAATGTTTCCAAAGAAATGCTTGTGTCTATATTTTATTATTTATTGTTTTTGACAATGTATACATTGTATTTAAAACCCTGTCTTTCAAAGTGTTTCATTACACACAGGGTAATTTAACTCTCGATTAAGCGCCGAGGCACTTAATATGACTTTGGCCCAGTAACTTGTTCTTTTTCAGAAAAGTGGCATACTGATTTGTGCACTATTTAATTTTTGAAGTTTTTTTAATTATATTTAAAACTTAATTAACTACCATATCTTATCTTTAAAACCAGAGAAGTTACACAAAACATTTATTATATAATCCTGCTACTGCCTCTTTAAGCGCTGCTTCAGTTGTTTGGTTTTGGATTCATCAGCAATTTTATTTACTTTTTTATTTTAACATCAAACCAGAAGTAAATGAGATTCGCCAGAATCAATCAAAGCCTGCAACCGTCTTCACTCCCTGGGGGAGTATATTTCCTGTTAGACTATGAAAATCGGCGCATGGATTAATTCTCTATACAATATCATACCCATTAAGTTTCTGGGTGCAGAGAAACAAAGTAGATAAATTGCACTGCCCAAGGACAGAGCAAGCGTCCGGCTCCAACATCGAACACACTTGTTCTTTTGATTGATTGCATACATAGATTCATACAAAATTATCTGATTTAGAAAAATTCAAATTTTTCTTATACTAAATTGATAAAGTGCTAATAGCGTCAATAATGGTATCTTCTTTTGTCTACAATTGCCTTTCTGTTTTTTTGTATACTTTAATAATCACAATATTTATTTCTTTTGTTAATATGAATTCAGAAAAAAAGTGAAAGATAAAAAAAATGACAATGCTCTTATAACATAAATGTTGCTATCTTTTCTTGTCCGCAGTAACGTTCAGACTATTCGAAAACTTTAATAATTTGGCGAGACTTTTTTTATACCTTGTTTAGCGAAATTTTGTTTAATGATGATTTTGAATAAAAATAAAATTTTACTTTTGGCCAATTCGCATACCACCACCATGAAAAAATGGAAATTTCAGAAAAAAAATAAGGTTTTTCTGTATTTTTATTACACCCAAAGCTGCCTATAAATCTGCAAAAAGATATGTATATTTCTTCCTAATTATATAAATTTAAAGCATTTAAGATCCCATTCCTACACCAGTGGCGTCATTCACCAATAAAATTTAATTTTTATTTTCTCTTCTGTCTGGATATTTTTGGCAAAACTAGAAAACACAATTTAATTTTTTTTCTTTCCGTCCTCCTTTGACAATCTTTAGTTCGCAAAATAAGGTATTAAAAAGTCTTACTGTACTATTTTAATAATTTCTTTTTGTTAATCTAATCTTAGAATTTGTACATAGTAATAAAAAAAGAGTAAAGTAAAAGAAAACAAAAATAGACAGTTGGAAGATGAAATGGGATGGGATGATATACTCTCTTTACTTTGAGTTTTCCTAATGTGTTTTTGTTCAATATGATAATATTTTCCACCGGGTTTTCCAATCATGTACAAATTTTGCAATGATAAACTTTATCCTCATGCAAAATATAGGAATTACATTTTTTGTTATTATAATGTTGGAAAATGTACAAAGTCAGAATAAAAGAGTAAAGTAAAAGAAAATATTAGCCAGTGGGAAGACAAAATAGAATGGAATGCTAAACCATTTATATTTTGAGTTTGTGTTTTCGTTCGATATGATAATATTTTCCACTCAGGTACAGATTCTTCAACGATAATTCTTTTATCCTGATGCGAAATACACTAATAAATTATTTAGAGAATATACTACAAACAGAAATCTCTGGAGGAAATGGAAGCCCATGACGACCGACCGTAGCAGATAAGGCACTTCAAGATGATGTTCTACGATCTACATTATAGCTGTTAATAAATCATCCCAAATATATCTCAATATTTCTTAACTATGTACTTTTTCAAAGTCATTAGGTAATAAATCATTTATAATCTCAATGAGGAAGTGTGGACATGGCCTAGGGTTGTACTATTAGTCTCTGCATATATTAATGTTGTAGGGTGTTTGTATTGCATATTATTATTCTACATTATTAACTTTCAATGCTTGGAACAAAATAATTGTTTTTTGAACTCATAATGCACTTTGAATACGGAGCCGTGTGAATCATCATCTTACGTGTACTCATCTGAATCATCATTTAATGTTAATGATCTTTAAACAAAGATATATACTCACTGTTTTTTCTTTGTGTATGGGGAGGTTTTGAATATTCGTTGTATAGCGTCTTATACTGCTAAGGCCCTATAAAAAATATTATTAGTTTATCACCCTATCTGGGCAGGAAAAGTGATAAGGGAGGGAGCCTTTTTTTTTAATTTTATATTTTGCTAAAGCCAAATATAACCCCTGGTTTGTTTGATGGTGCATTGATATTCAAAGTAAAACATGATTTAGATAATGCAAACAATATCTACTAACTATTTAATAAAATAAATTAAAAAAATAAATAAAATTAAAAAAAAAAAAAAAATTATTAAAAAAATGGTTTTTTTTTTCAAAAAAAATTTTTTTCAAAATTTTTTTTTTTTCAGTGCCATAGAAGTCATGCGCGCGAGGGTGATAAACTAATAATTTTTTTTATTGGGCCTAATAATTTAAAAACTTTATTTTGATCTTTGTTCAGGGAAATAAGCTGGGGAAAGGGATAGACTGGGGAAGCAGGTTCACCTCCCATTGCAAATGAGTTTCACTGAGTGGATTAAATACTAAAAATGACCATTAAGGTTTCATTGGAATCATATAGCAATTTAGCTCCCACCCCAGGCTGTTTCACACCCAAGCCAAAATCAGCCCACATCACCCTAGTGTTTCATTGTACAGTAATTTGATATAATAATTTTCAACTTTTGAACAGTTTAAATTTTTTAGGTTAAAGGTGCACTCTCAATGCAAGATATCAGAATATTCCATAGTTAAAGTAATTACTGTTAATGAGGTGGATTTTTATACCATTCTGTAGAATTACTGCTTAAAGAGCTGCATACTTATTAGTGATGGAGACAAGAATATATTTACTGCAATATAATAATCGTAGATGAAAGTAGGTAAGTATACCTGCACAGCATTAATTACCTGTATTGCCTTTGGGTAAAGGTACGCTTACCGATTAACAATAAACGATAAGTTGTCACCCCTGACCCTATGAAAGGCGACAACAAAATTCCCTTGTGATAATGAGAATACTGGCAGGTGAAATTATAATTGGTATAAGTAGAAAATCTCACAGGAATAATATAAAATAAAGTGCCTGGTTGAGGAAAATCAGTCCAAAAGAATGGAAAAGATGGATGCCACGAATCTGAAAGCAGAAGGCTAGAGCCAGGGTTGCCTTACTACTCGGAAAATCTATAAGAGAATATCCCATCCTGGCTCCTTAACCAAAAAATCACAATCTAAAACCAATGACCAATCAGAATAAGTGCCACAAATGAATGCAACTCTCACATAAACATGTTGTCCCACAAAAGCATGTGTACTTTGTGTATAATATTTTTACACTGGCATTTTGTGGGATATTAACAATATCCAAGGGCATGCTTTAGTGTAAAAGGCCCATTGATAACTAACTAACTGCTTCATATGTATAACCAACTTTCTTAAACTAATTAATTTTTTAGAGATTTCCCTATTTCTTCCCTCACATTTTTCTATTTTGTGTTAGCCGTCTAAGTTGGTAAAGAAACCAAATGATAGTCGGCCGGAGAGTTAAAGCAAACACATCATTATTATAAAAACTACTGTATTTTAAATTGAGTCAGATTCCAATGATTCTAAACTAAATTTTCTCCACCACAGTACATCTTATCGACACCCACTTCTGTCATTCTATTATGATAAGTGGTTGTTATGTACTTAACAACTACTCTATCATTTGCAAGAAGTGG